CCAGACTTCCTTTTGTTCCTGCAGATACATACTTTCGTTTAGTTCATCGAACTCACTTTCTCCATACAGATTTCCTATTGTACAGCATTACATTCTCAAAGGAATGCACTTCTATTATATTCGTTAGCAGCTTCCACAAAACATATTTTGAACACTGACCACGTCGCTTATTAGTTTTTACTTTTCTCATGTTTCACTTTTAAGCAGCAAACACGTTATTTGTGATATATTCACACTTATAGACGCGAAAGTTTTTCACAGTCGACACATAGTTTATCAACCCTAACATAAGAAACTCTTTATTAACTTCAGAATAAATCTGAATCTTGTTAAGATTTCACATATTATTAAAAATAATTTTAGATACTGAGATTATAAAGTACGTTAAGATTTGTATACATACATATATTACATTACATATATATTACAATATGTAAAATTTTCATGTGAACGTTACATAAAAAATTAAAATAAATTAATTTTATTTTTTAAATATATTTTGATTTTCTTTTTAATTATTTTAATTATTACATTGTAGGTTAAGAAAATTGTAAATACTGTATAGTTGATTGTAAATAAATATACTTAATGTTTAAAAAAACAAAACAAAAATTAAATTTAATATTTAATGTTACATAAATAATTGTTATTTAGTTATTTTGAGGTAAGTACCTACTTTTTATTATTTTCTCTTTATGTATATCATATACTATTTTTAAATAGATCATAAATAACGGTGCAATTAAAATCAAGCTAATTTCAAACACCGAAGTAATATTTAATTGTCACCTACATATCATAATGTGATCACTGATCTTATTAAGGAACGTTATTGGGCAGTGAACGTGCGAAGTTTTTCTCATTTGCCATTCAATGTTCGCGGCACCTATTGCTTATACTGTTTGAGTCTGTGTCATAAACAAAGACGTGTGCCATGAACCATTAAGAATAATAGGATCATTCGCGTATAAAAATAAAAATTCACTATTTGTGCATAGATTTGCAAAATAATTATTGGTTTGGACATTTATAGAAGGTAAGTTATTTCAAATAAATCGTAATTGTCACTCACCTATTTCGTAACAATTAAAGCACAAAACTAATATTTAGACGTCATGTATATATATAATAGTAAAAGAATATACTTGTTATATGCTGATACGACAAGTAATATCGGCGGTTGATAGTGGATTAATATTACTGCAACCATCTCTAGTTATAATATAGTAGGTAAAGAACAATGTTGACCTCCGTGTCCACAACGATAATAACTGTAACCTAAATCATGACATATTGACAAAGAAAATTGTTTTTATAATCTTTATCTAAGACGTCATTAGATCGCGTGATGGACTTGACTTTATTTCTTGACAATTACCTAATTAGAATTATTAGATCGACATAATTAAAAAGAATTGGATAACCTAGTTACTGATACAAAGAATACAGCTCAATTAAATCGGTAAATTTAATAGATGAATAAAAAGTATAACATTAAATATTTAATCAAAATATGCCTCATATAATGAATATTAACAGTAAGTAATTAAGAAAACTTAACTTAAAAATGTAATCAAATTTTTAATGAAAAAATGTACGAATAAATTTCGTATTTGATATTTTATAAATATTTAATATACAATCGTTTAAAATAGAAAGAGATTTAATTGGAAATTACACAACTGTAAAGTAAATAAAGGACTGCCTGCTGACATTGAACTAGTTCGAGATGCTTGCATGTTTGAGCAATTATTAGTTTAATTGATTCCTCATGCGTGTGCATTGTTCATCCCTTTGCCTAGTTTTCGCGTGAATCACGTGTTTTTTTGCAGCTATTTCTATTAACGTATTGAAAACAAAAGTACCTTTTTCCATTATTTTCAATCAGATAAAACAAAGAAGTGGCGAAGGGCGAGTGATCTTTTCTAACTAAGTCTTTAATTTTTTGAGGAATAAAGTTTTATCTACATATTTCGAGAAACGGTATCAAACCTATGAATATATAATATATTTTAATTAGTTGAACCTTCTTCAAAGCTATGGTCTATTAATCAGCACTTATCTATTTCATCAGGCTACTGTGTCATTGTACGGTTCTCACAAGTGTCGCTTGACCTCCGCCATACTTTCGCCATTCATCGTGACATAATAAAGTAGCTTATTAAAGACACATTTATATGGACCACTGCTCGTTATTACGTTGCATAAACGTGTTTTGTATTGCACTATATTATAAGACTAAAGAGAAGCCTTTATATACAATAAAAAGGTTTTATAGCACTTATAATATTGTTTAGAACTCCGACTAGAATGTGCAGTTTTTGGTTAAGTTGGAAAAGAATATTCCATATTACCCTTATTTACAAGTATTGTTAGGTCTTATGTAGAATGTTATGCAGAGCATGTGATTTCAATACATATTAAAAACAATGTCCACTTGTGATTCTATTGTCATCCAATTTAACCGTTAACCTCCTTTGGATAGCTAAAGAAAGTAGGTAGAACTATGACTGTTAAAGGATGACATAGTTTTTAGAATTTTCAGCTTTAAAAATTGTTTGATGATATGCCGGTTTTTTTTCCGGACGGACTAATCTTTACTGTAGGAAAAGCTTGTGAATATTAAAAAAACAGGTTTGGTTATTATAAAAAAATACGAGTACAAGTCAAACTAAAAGTAATTCTACTTATAAATACAATGCAGACTTCAAATAATTAATGGACGAACGATTAAAAGAGGACAATTTACCGAGCTATATTTATTTTAGTAAATTTTAATAAGGAAAGTCAAAAATATTAATAAAAATTGAACAAAGTCGTTTTCAAGAGGATACAAACAATTTGATCGCTTATCAGGAAATTACTTTGCCTAGATATATTAACTGTTCTAATTAGACTTTGTATGTTAATAAGGGAATTTATCTTGTGATATTAAGATATTTATGATATTATTAAGTGAGTCATAAAAAAGAATAATGCAATGAAATAACTTAATTAACGCATTTTTACTATAGTTTTAAAGGCTGGTCTAACTACAGTAACGTATCCAAATAATAATTTGTAACAATAGTGTGTAAACAAAAAGACCTTAAAATTGTGTTGACATTTGAGTAACAAACGAAAAAAATGTTTAAGTAACAAACGCCAAATTATAACTTCGTTACGTGTAGAGCGATGCGATGACATCGAGACAAAAATACAGCGTGTGAAATTGATCACGCAACATTTACTTTTCAGGAAAAGTTATTTCTCCTCAGTCAATTATTTTATTTGTTGGGTCTTTATTTTTTTCTAATTCGCGTCAGCGGAATGTCGAGCAATGAAACGTTAGGTATGCCTAATAGCTTACATTGAATGTCGCGTAAACCAGAAGTGGGCCATCACGGTTTTGTTGACCCACTGCTTAGAACTTCAATCTCCAACTGTAAAATCCATTAAGAATCGGTTCTAAAACTGTCTATGTTTCGTGTCTTACGCGTATTACTAAATCTTAACTTACCTTACGTTATAAAAAATAATCGGATCTCATCAAGAATTTATTCGCGACACTTTCACACACTTCACCAATTTGCGAAGTTTGTCGCATTCACATAATATTTTCGAGAGAAACTACACTGATTGGAACGCGCATGTGGATTGCTCTGTGGCAGAATACTGAATTATTGAAGTCGCGTGTATAATAGCGAGCTACAACCGTTCTCGGCGCGCGCAGTGAGAGTTGTGGCTTCTGTGGGCCGAAGCCCGCAGCGAGGCTATAGCCACTATCTACCAGTCGCACCGCTGCTGTGACGGACTCCGCTGCAACCGCGATGCTGAGTATTGCACTTGCACTTGTATTGCAGTCGCGATACGCAACCCCGCAGGCTCCAATACCCGTAAAACGCGCAATATCAATATTTTCCACGGAATTGTGATAAGAAATGTGATTATAATATTGTCATAATATATGTAGGATCTAATTATATGATTGCAACTGAGGCGCTTATACGTGTATACATGCAACTCAAGGTTAATAAAACAAACATTAATACTCAATAGAATTAAATGAGTATAAACAATAGGTAGCATCAGTTATAAATATATCTTAGCTGGTTTTTGGTGAAAAGTTAATGAGATGATAAAATTTCTGACCAAAAGACAAGTTAAATACTAAGTGTTGTAAAAAAGATACTTTAGAGACCCTGTCTAAACTAACTATACTAAGAATATATAATTAAGGTAATTTAAGACAAAGCCCATGAATTTAAAAGATCGTATAAAATTTCGATAATTAATTAATTATCGTAATTGACACTGCCCGTGTTACGAAGAAGTTAAGCCCTTACCCCAAATAGCTTGTCGCTATGGCGTTCGTATTATAAGTGCAATTGAGGGTGGCAATGAGGACAGATGGTCATTCAGTTGCATACATAAAAACATAACGATAATACTCTTCAGTGAACACCTGTGTACCACGCACTGCCAACCCCTTGTTACGTCTCTTTTCAACATGGCTTATGGCAAATTTTTTGTCTCTTTTTAAACTTACTATATTACAGTACAAGCTCACTAGTCAGGGTGCTGGAGGTGAAGTTGTTTAGACGTTGTCACAGGCAACGGTAGTCCGATACATGGCAGCCCAGCTATACAATTTTATAGTGCCTCAATTCTTACATGTGTAAAGTCGTACAATAAATACTATAAGTATATTGAAAAACATGTGAGTATTATTACTAAATATATTCTCGTTAACAATATTGCTGACTGAAATCACTGTTTATATTCATTTGGATAATATTTTTAAACTAACTCTAAATAAACAGTCAAGTTATGACCTAGAATTGTACTTGGAAGTGTACTGATTACTTGGTATCTTCTTGACGTATTATTGTTTATCTTATAATAGAAATAATTAAATTATTCTATATCAATAACATGCTTTCGAGATATTTAATAGATTTTATTTAATAACATGATATGTATTTTGCAGAAAATGTTACGGAGATGACATCTATTAATATATGATCATAAGTAATAATATGACATTATCAAATAGTAATTCCAACCAAGACACAGTACAAACTGATCGTGGAGCAGATGATTTGTCTACAAATTGGAAAACTCTCTACAATTCACAACTTTGGACCAATAGTGAATTAAGAAGGCAGATAATAAAAACTCCGTTTATTGAAAACAGGGCAATATCTAATTGTTACACCTGTAGAGGAAAAATAAGAAATTACGAAATAACATCACCGTGCGTTGATCCAAATTTTTTGCCCCGAAGCCATTCAACTCCGAAATGCAATCAAAATGCTATTAAAAATATTGAACTTAGTTTACACGAACATTTTGCTGTAATTGAAGAAGAACACGATGATGCTCGGAACATTCCTTCGATTTCAAGACAGGTCGATAGCAGCTTCCGCCAAAAATATACTTGTTCCACATACAATTCTCCAAATAGTAATTTAGACAGGCGTAGACTAAGGAAAAGCCTCAAAAGTCTCAGGTCTATACTTAATTTTGCGTCAACTGAAAGTCTGACGGAGAAGAGGACTCAACTTAAAGCTTGCTCAATAAGTGTAATGATTGTGGCAGTAGTCGTGATATGTTTGGTTTTGGTTAATTTTTCTACTCCTAGTTTCGTACGTGCCCAGAATAGCACAACCGTAGTGCCAAGTGTAAATGTGGATGTGAATGAAACATCCTCAGCTATTATTGATATTCACTCAAACCCGACGACCTACAATGATGTCATAGAATCGACGACGGATAAATTACTATCAACTACGGAACTAATTGTAAACGAAGCTATAGCAAAACTTCGTAAAAATATAAAAACCTATCCGAAAATAAAACCGATTAGGGAATCGCCAAAAGAAATTATCAATAGGGATTTATCGCAAAAGTTTTGTGCGTGCCAAAGTGATGAAGTGTGTATGTTGGAGGAAGAAAGTGGGACATCAATATGCAAAATAGCGACTGACATTCAAGACCCTACAGGTAATTTAACAAAACTAAATTTTAACAGCACACTGCTTAAGGAGTTAAATTATATTTTTTCTGGTAGTAGTAGTCTGTAATTAGTTCTACAGGTAAAGATATTTAAATTATATTTGATAAGGAGGTTTATTTTTTATTAGGTTGCGGTGGTCTGTGCGCTCTAGAAACAGAGGCATGTCAACTAGTGGATAAGGAACGCGGAATACGAGTTTGTCGTCTTTTAACATTGGAAACCTGCTCACCTCAAGATTGGCGTTGCCGCAACGGATTATGCGTGTCAGTTGGGGCTCGCTGTGACGGCACCATACAATGCTATGATCGATCTGATGAAAAACAATGTGGTAATTATTTATTTTGATGATTTGTAAACTTTTCTATAGGCAATATTTGTATTTAAATTTTTTTCTTCAAACTAAGTGTAGTTTCTAACAATGTTCAATTTTATGAAATCTGTCTAAGCGCGGGTGGGGCAGATATAATTAATAAAATAATAGGTATATTGGCAACAATAATTATCCCAAGCTGTATATACAGGCTGGCCAAAAAGTCGTGGATCAAACGCAAATAGGGGATAGAGGAGGTCATCAGCTGCAAAAAACTGTTCTACGGGAGGTCTCTAAGATTAACCCCTGCAGTGTTATAATTTATTTTGCGATTTTTTAAGAAAATTGACTTTTTTCACTAATTCTTATTAAAATTCGAAAAAAATCTACATCCTATATCTTTTTCATAATATCCACTAGATTGGTACTGATGAGTCCTTGCGTTAGACATACTATTTATAGTTGTTTATTGACTGTATTGAAGATAATATTAAGTTATACGATATAAAAATTTCTCAAATCATAACTTTTCATCGTCATTCGTAGCTCTATATTAGAGCGACTCAGGGCCAGGTGTAATACCTTTTCAGAATCCCTATTAAATGCGCCAAAACTTGTTATACAGGGTCATTTTTCGGTAGAGTATTTTTTTTCCACAGTGGGGTCCGAAGTAAACAAAAAGTTATGATTTGAGGAATTCTTATATCGTATAACTTAATATTATCTTCAATACACTCAATAAACAACTATAAATAGTATGTCTAACGCAAGGACTCATCAGTATCAATCTAGTGGATATTATGAAAAAGACAAGAATGTGATTTTTTGAATTTTTTTAAAAGAATTAGTAACTCTGCAAAAGGGGTTATACTCTGCAGCTTAGGGACCTCCCCTAGAACAATTTTATGCAGCTGATGACCTCATCTATCCCCTAGTTGCGTTTGATCCATAACTTTTTGACCAACCTGTATATTATATAAATTTTGAGACAAATACTATAATAATAGTTATATTCTTACAAATAATTTAATTGTATAAATATTGTTTTGGGATTCCAACACCTTCGAGATAATATTTTTTTAACTATACAGGTTATAGTGAATTAACTATAATCTGAAATGATGGTGAATCACGTGATAAATACGTTAAAAATCATGCTGTAGGAGTTGCATAAGTGTTAAGCTTTAGGTAAAATTGTTTAAGAAATATATATATATTTTTATCCACAGAATGTGATTTAACGAAACAGTTTCGCTGTGGACATTCTTTATCTTGTTTCCCAAATAAAAAACTTTGTGATGGTGTGATTGATTGTTGGGACGGTTTTGATGAAGTCAACTGCACTATGGGTATGTAATTAGTATTAAAGATTTTGCTTGTGCATTGTTACACGCGTGCATTCTAAAAATATATATGTTTACAGAATGTTCTGATGATCAGTTCCCATGCAACAATGGCCAGTGCATTGTTTCATCGCGATTTTGTGATGGTTTCGCCGATTGTGCCGATGGAAGTGATGAGCCCCATGGCTGTGACGCGGCTTGTGGTGCTCATGAATTGAAATGCGTTAATCAACGCTGTGTCTCATTAGAGTTACGATGCAATAATCGTGACGATTGTGGCGATAATACAGACGAAATACAGTGCTCTTAAAATAATATTTACTATGAACTGCCTAAATTGTTTGACAAATTTCTAGTTATGCACTTATTGACTCTACAAACCCACCTAGTGTATTATAAGAAAATGAACTGCTGTTCAAGGATTTCTTAAGGATTTATTTTTACACATCACATAAGTAATATAATTTTTCAATAAAGTCACATATTTCTTACAATCTATATATTTTAATGTTTCACTCCCAAAACAAAAATAGGAAGCAACTTAAGTTATACGTGACAGATAATGAGAGAATCTTTATTTTTTTCACAGTAGAATGCAGTACAATAAAAAACAACATAACTAAAATTACACATAAAGTGACAGTCCTATCACCTTGCCAAAAAAAAGTGGTTACGGTAGGAAGTTATTATTTTAAATACATATAATATTTTATCCATAGTTCTTAAATAATAAATTACATTTAACGAATTAGAATTTTGGATCTATTTGTTAAAAGGTGATGTGTAAGAGCTTAATTACTATAATAAATAGCATGAAATACTAGAAACTATTAATAATTGCCTCTTATTATATATAAATTTCAAAGGAAGGCTTCGATCCATATCTATGTATAAATAAAAAAAATATTCAAAATTCCATGTCACATTAAGTAACATTTTTGACGTTAAGACTGACATTATTCATTAATCTCATTTTTCGTATGGTATTCAGATAGGGATGAAAATTATAACCTCAGGACCTTTCTTTCTTATTGTCTATTGCAGTTTAAGCGGGAATGTAAAAAATAAACAGCTTGCATTTGGCGGGAATACTTATGGTGTAAAACACTCAACCAATTCTTTAGTCTATATCTAAGAGTAATAGACACAAGATGTCTGACGGATATTCGTCTATGATGGCCACACATTCAAAATAAAAAAGTACTGTACTTAATTTGTATATTCCCTTGAGACTTAAGGCGGAAACATACTACCAAAACGCGACGCTACACCACGCCATCCGACGCATGTCAGTACTTATCAATCCCATATATTTAATATGGTCAGATGCACATAGACAACACGCCATGTGATCACACGCGGTAACATCCAATCGATTTGGATCGGCGTGTTGTCGTGTTGTTGACGCCAAGCGTCAAACGTTCGAGTTTTTGGCACAAATGTCAATTGTCAGGTAAATGACTTCTGAATTTGCAAGTGTGTCGTGGTGTCGCATGTTGGTAATGTGCACGATGGACATCGAGTGTCGACACGTTGCGTCGCGTGGCGTTTTAGTAGTATGTTTCCACCTTAAAGGTGATAATAAGGTTATAATCATAGATTTCTTAATAGTACTTTAATTTATATATACGTTACTACATAATATATACTATATATCATTCATAAGAATGTGTTTACACATTAACACAATTTGTGAACACATTCACACAATGTGAATTTGTGTTTAGAATCTATACTTGTCTGCAGCTAAACTCGTCTAATTTATTGGTATCTGTGGTTCGTCGTCGGACGCACCACAGGGCACAGTAATATTTATATTCTTTAGTCGCAGTGTTGCCAACTTGGGAATTTCCCCTCCAACTTTAGGGGTAATCAAGATGTCCAGGGGGGTTTTAGGGGGTACATTTATTTAGGGGGTACTTTATTCAAGATTTTTTTTCTCAACAAACACACGATTCTATAAAATTTATATTAAGCTTCGAACGCAATCAACAAACTAAACCAAATATAAACTCCAAGCATGGCTACAGCTTAAATATCGAAAAACAATAATTTAATGTGTCAAATTTGTTCCTTCTGACAACATGATCAAATCATTTAACGTCAATATGTACGGTTTCAAAAATATCAGCGACAGCAAAACGCAGCGCGATATCCAGGCTGATGCCTTCGACGAAATATAAGAAGCTTATCCCAATGGCATGTAATAATATTGTATTAGAAGGAAAAAATCACATTGAAGCAATTCGTTTTTGAAGCTATACTTCTTTAGGCGCGTTATGAAAAATTGATGAGAGTGAAATTTTACGATGCGCGCGCACCGTGACACAAAATTAACAGAATGAAGTTGCCCACGGAAGATGCTACGGCATTGGACATAATTTAAAAACAACATTCGAATAATAATAGAATTTATGTTACACTTAATGTAAGAGAATAATAATAAATATTTATTTATTTAATTTTTCAAATGTAAACTGAACTTTATTGACTATAATGACTCCTTTTCCAGTCTTTGATTATTTAATTGTAATTAATTATTTGCATGCAATCAAAAACTATTTTTAATAATGCCAAAGAAGTATAACTTCTTACGCGCGTACATAAGTACACGCACCGTTTTTTTATTTTAATTCTGTCTCGTTTAACTGTAACAGAACAGATACAATAGAAAAAGTACAAAAAGCTTTAAAAATAATGCATGAAAAGAAATTGACGAAAACGCAAAAAATTGTCTGCCAAGAAACGTTAAGAAAAATGAATTCGAAGAAAAAAGTTAAGAAAGAAAAGTTAGGGGTTTTTTATCGACATTTAGGGGTATTTGAAGTTGGTCCCAGGGGGAACATTTTGTAGGAGTTGGCAACCCTGTTTAGTCGGACGTCGTGCTGGCTTTAGGCTTCTCGAAAATTGTAGTATTACAATTATTGCACTGTGTAGTGCGTTTTTTAAATAACGCATTTTTGATTGAATTCCATAATCCTAAAGTCCCAAACCTCTATTTTTACCACATTGCTCTTTTAATTAAGTATGGCAGATAGTGATGACGAATATGATCGGAAAAGACGCGATAAATTTCGTGGCGAAAGAGGAGCAGCTGAAGGCAGTAGCTACCGCAGCAGCGACAGAAGAGAAGAACGCAGTCGTGGCCGTGAAGAATGGTCTGAGAGGTACATTCTCAATTTTCTCTAAGCTCTTCTTACATACTATTTCCATGCTAAAATAATTTATTCCAGATCCCAGTCCCAATCCTTTGATCCTTCCAAGATTACAAACCAGCATTCTAAAGCTGTTAAAAGAACATCAGTGGTTGTAAGGTACAACATGTTAAATGTCATATCTGTCCTCTTATCTTATAATCCTCAAACATGTCCTTATTTTAGGTCTCGAGGAGGTAGATCAGGCCCTGACTATAGAGACTATAGAGGAGGTGGCAGCGCCAGTAGAGGGTATTCTCCAGTAAGAGGAGAAGGCCCACCCAATAAGAGATTAAGACCGGAATGGCCTCTTGATGATAGAAGATATGGTGGAATGCCTCATGATTCATATGGCTCTTATGGCTGGGCTCATGATCATTTTGGTCCACACCCAGCACACCAAGGATATGGACAACCCATGCCTCCTGTCCCTGCTAGGTTAATTTTGTTACATATTTTTTCTTATCACTAAAACCAAATCAATCCATTTACCTGCTATTACAAAAACATTTGCAAAAGTTGACTAAACTAACTGCCTTTCACATCAGGTTTAATTTATTCATTAAACTTACGATTGATTACACTATAAAATAAGTAATTAATAATGTTTTAATATGTACAGCAATTATGATATTAGGGACGCTGTATTACCAACTGGTCCAACTGACGGTCCAAGCACCATGATGTCTTTCAAGGCATTCCTTGCAGCACAAGATGATTCAATAACTGTTGATGATGCTATTACAAAGTATAATGAATACAAGCTAGACTTTCGAAGACAGCAACTTAATGAGTTCTTTGTTGCTCATAAGGATGAGGAGTGGTAAGTATTTTCAGCAACATCAATTATATACTTAATTTTAAGAAAATTTAAACAAAAAATACGTCTGGCTGTAGACGAACAGAGGACTGTAAACATCAGACTAAGCTTTAATTTGATTTACAATTCATTCCAAATTACTCCGTAAAAAAAGTATGATAGGTATTTTCATGTTTATGCCTATTAAAGGTTCTATGCAATAATGCTAACATATCCATAACCTTAAGATTTCAATTACAACATTCTGTTATGCATGGAACCTTTTAAATATGCAATTGTTAATTTTAACTTTTTTCCCTACAGTCTACAGCGCATGTGGAATTACTGGACGTCGTTACGAAAATATTCCAACTATAATAAATTAAAATGTGTGTAGCTAGTTAATATCGCGTTGACCTGTAGCGCGCAATGCTACAGGTTCCGTTATTGTTAGGGGTAGGGAAATGATTCCACACGTGTGGAACAGGTGAGATTGAGATTTTTAACTTTTCATTTTAGTTTTCACTATTCACAGGCTTAAGGAAGTAGGTATTCACTTGTAACATCGTAACATAACAGCATTGTATCAATGTTGGTAATTTTGTTCGATGTTATGATCCTGCATTATTGTTAATTTTTATTTGTTTAATAGGTTCAAGATTAAATACCATCCTGAGGAGTCTGTAAAGCGTAAAGAGGAACAATTGGCTGCACTTAAGGTTTGTTCCTACTCTTTTAGTCATTTTTTCTTCCGCTGTGTCATGAAGAAAAAGCTTAAAACATTTCTTCACGGCATATACTGTAATAGTATAAATAAACTTTTATTATATGTTTAAATTTTGAATTAAATTGATTGTTTATATTTATAGAATCGCCTTAATGTGTTTCTGGAGTTATTAGAGCAAGGTGAACTTGATAAAGTGTCTGTGGATGTTGACAAGTCAGATAAACTGATAAGACTGCTTGACACTGTTGTTATTAAGCTAGAAGGAGGAACAGAAGAAGATTTGAAAATATTAGATGAGCCAGCTCCATCTGAGAATGCTAACAATGAAAAACAAGGTAGGACTAAAAGTTTTAACAATATCTCTTGTGATTTTATTTTATCTATATTTGATCCATTACTATTAACTTCTTTTAATAAATATTTACTAAGAACATGCTGGCATGCATGATGACCCACAAAGCAAGTCATATTAATATAGCATTGCATTCAGTTCTAAAAACTTAGCAACAAGTATATTTTAATTCAGACAAGGCAGAACCTGAGAAAGCTGTAGTAATAGATGTTGATGCCGTTAAGGTGAAGGATGAAAAAGAAGACAAAGAGGAGATTGAAAAGGTTCCTATTTATTTTATTTTTAACAAATGTATCTTTAATTAGACTAATAGATGCACTTGCAATACCTGTGCATATAACATATGATGATCAAACCTTTTTTTAACTTATAAATTGATAATAGTAAATAGAGGTAGATTTCTTAGATATACATAATTTATTGCAATATATTTGCTTAGTTATGAACACTTACACTAAGTAGGAAATATATTTTTTTAGCTGTCCAATACGAATTCTATTAAAAAGTATTAAAAATAAAACTAGCGCGTAACATTTACGAATGAAATTTTAAATAAAGAATCCAAAGATAGGCCAGTTTAGCAAGAGTTACTTTCAGGATAAGAAATCAGATCCTGAGTCCCCTAAGCCAACTGCCCCTTTGACTATGGAGATTGATCCTCATTTGAAGCAATTGCAGGAGCAGGCGAAATTATTCTCGCGTTACAATACTCCACCAGGGACTGAGCCGGACCTAGAAGTGCCTGAAAAGGAACCACGTAAGTGTTCTCACTTTTATCAACATTTTAATTTGTAAAAGGAAATATTTAGAAATTTATTTAAGTGTATCATACTATTAAATCTTCACTCAACTAACTTCAATAATCATACATAACTTACAAGTAAGGAATGCAGCCAACAAAAATCTGAAAAATAAAGTTATTTTTTAACCGACTTCAAAAAAGAGAATTAGTCAGTTTGTTGAAATCTTGCATTACATATTTTTTGTGCATGTTTATGTTGAGATTTTACTGTTAAAAATCTGATTTATTTCTATAGCACCTCCTGGCTCATCATCAAGCTCGTCATCTTCAGGTTCTTCATCGTCAAGCTCCGAAGATGAAGGGGAGTCTACTCGTCGCAAATCCAAGTCGAAATCGAAGTCTAAAAGCCCAGTAAAATCGCCCAAAGCAAAGAGTAGGTCCAAGTCTCCTGTTGAAAAGACGGAAACAGACTCTCGCAAGGATAAAGAAGATGATAAATCTGAAGAAGCGAATGAAGTCGGACCTGAAAAGAAAGAAGTACGAGCTTTGCATAAAACAACGTCGATTTTCTTGAGAAACTTGGCGCCAACCATTACCAAAGCGGAGGTTGAAGCAGTGAGTATTCTTTCTTCTAAATCACATACGTTTCGATTTTTTTAATTACCTACTATATTAATAAATATAGTAGATAATTAAAAAAATCTGCATATATTTTGAGAATATAATTTTTTACACAATAAAAATACATATTATCATTATTTTAAACCAAAAGTAGTAGTAGTTTAAAAATTTGAAAAAGATACAAGACTTAACGTTGCGTTATTATAGTTAATTTACCTATTATGTATACGTGACATCGTTGTTATCAGTTTTTAAGAGTCTATTTCTATGAGATTATACTGTCTCTTTTACATATAAATTGAAAATTTTAATTCCGTAGAATTTTGACATTTCATAAGTGTTGCTACTAAAAAAGTTCTCCACCGGAAAAGGGACAAATTTGACTTATTTGAGGGCAATAAAAAAAAATGCCACGTATTTTTTATCTACAAAAAGGTATATCTAAATATTTACTTACTCATGTGACCTAATAAAAAAATAACTAATATTTCAATATATCGAATAAACTTTAATTACTTTATTTTATTCTATAGCTGGCATCACTGCCTACTAATTCCAGGTTGAGTAAACCTTAAAAAAAATGTTATCTTTATTTGTGCGTTTTTTACTGTTTGTGATGAAAAGGAACGTAATTACCACTCGCCGTTAAACCACTTTTAATTTGGAGCACTGCACTTAATAAAATGGATACATTAACTAACAATAAAATGTATGTATAGACTTCAGACTCGTATTGAGATTGAAAAATGTGCCCGGCCAAAAAGGTTTTCTATCACTGACATGTCAAAAAATGATAGCTGTCAGAATTCTACGGAATTAAAAATCAGAGTATAGTCCACCCAACGAGCGCTGTTCAAGTTTACCAATACGTTACCTTATCGATTCTACGTATTGTGTATACTAAGACTACAACTATTGGAAACTACTTAGTTTGTTCAGAAACGTGAATGAACTACGACCTGTACGTTAAAATCCAGTACATTTATAATAAATTGGATTAAGTCAGACTTAGTCCTAAGTCTCGTATCGATATCTTAATATGTTGTATTGCAGATGTGTAAACGTTACGGTGGATTTCTGCGTGTGGCGCTAGCTGACCCGTTGCCCGAGCGGCGTTGGTTCCGTCGAGGGTGGGTCACTTTCCGCCGCGAGGTCAACATTAAAGACATTTGTTGGAACCTCAACAATATAAGGGTAACACGTTTTTTATTTTAGCTGTCTTTGATTCATTAAATCTAATATGGTATCACGTTGTAAAATTTGTGTAGAGTTTTCAAAGTGTGATGCAATAATAATTTAACAACAATTCAAGCAATTTCAATTCCCTGTTAAAATCATAGCACCAATTTAATAAAAAAGCGATTAGGCGATATTGTTTCTTATTATTTCTATATTTATATTCTTACTGCTGCATTCATAAAGGTATTTGAATCTTAAAATAAATAAATGTATAATAACGTTGTGATAGAAGTGTTATCTTTAAATAAATGTATGTTTCTAACCCATTTTCATAGATCTATTTCAATCTAGTGATTAATAATATCAAAACTATATTTTTAGTTGCGTGAATGTGAATTGGGCGCAATAGTGAACCGGGACTTGCAACGTCGCATCCGTCCCGTGAGCGGTGTGACGATAGAACGTGTAGTAATGCGTGCAGACGCACGACTCGCAGCGAGACTTGCGCACCTGTTGGACACACGGACTTCGCTATGGGGGAATGAGTCCAGTGAAGAGAATAACTCGGGTGAACAAGTAAGATCTATTTCACTATGCATTAAGAAAATATAAATTTTCACAAAAAAACTACTCTGATATCGTTTGTGAATAAAACTTTGTTTGAATTATTTTTAAAACTTAAAAATAAATATAATGTATTCAATATTGTACGAATATATAGTTTAGTGTTATTTATTAAGCCACTTAAAAAAATACACCTAAGGACTCCTCCGTTATTAATTTGATGCATATTTTTTTATAAAGTACGGTATTAGAAATTAGAAACCATTCAGAACTATATACCTGATTGAGTCAATACAAAAATGAATGAATTGAACATTCTTATATTTCTATAACAAAATTAAATTTTAGAGCATAAACTTCAACTCCAACAATCCAGTCTTGCACAAGATAACAGAGCATTTGATTGAAGAAGCATCAACCGAGGAAGAGGAGTTGTTGGGTCTAGAAGCCACAACTGAGACAAATGGGCAGGAGGTGGACCCAGAATTGATGCGCGTTCTAGACCGGCTAGTCTTATATCTACGTATTGTGCACTCAGTGGATTACTATAACCACTGTGAATACCCATATGAGGATGAAATGCCTAACCGCTGTGGGATAATGCATGCGAGGTCTGGACCACCTATTAATAAGGTAAATATATTAAATAATTTAAAGCCATAGAAATAATATACCTGTTGGCAAACAAGTATTGCCTTATAGAAAATTATGCCTCATAGAAACTAAACAGTTTCGTAACTGTGTCTAGTTATAAATGATGATGAATAAAATACGTGATTTAGGTAATAGAGCAGTGTTGGCTAGTGCATGTGACCCTAAGGTCGTGCGATCTAATCACGGCAGTAGACTTCTATTTGCGCAATAAACACTTGCTCGTATGGAAAACATTGTTAAGCACAGAAGGATCGCCTACTTGCCTATTAAAATAACTTAAAACAGATGCTGTTATCAGAGGCCAAGACATAGTATGTAGTGCCACTAGTATAGTTGTTAAAATGTCGTATTATATTCTCTATTCTGTATTATTTAATCGGAAACGAATGTAAGAAATATATAGTATTCTTACACTACCTTCTGATACTTCACATTATACTTTTGTTTTTCTTGAATACAAATCATGTTTTCACATTTAAGCCATTGGGTATTAATGAGATAACCTTTTATGCCCTACAGCCAACGCAGCAAGAAATTCAAGACTATATTAAGACATTTGAGAGTAAAATGTCCGCTTTCTTGCAAGATGTCAAACCTTTACCTGATGATGAGTTGCAAAAACTTGGAATTAAGGTAATACATATTCTTAAAGTATATTTATGTATAAACTACCTATTCTAGGGCCACTGGTGTGTAAAGGCATTATTGACTGAAAATTAATGTAATAATCTACTTATAATCTTAATAGACTAAGGGTCGACTCGACCAAACTTCAATTTATACACGAGTAACTATACCAGGAATAAACTATTCCATGATTTTAATCTCGAGTAAATCCATAGTCGTTTCTCCACGTAATCGATAGTATAATTGCGCTAGGAATAACAATACGCGAATAGCAAAGTGAATGGTGAACGAAAATAAAACTCGGCAAATAAATGTTGTTCTACAACGGGACAGTGTAAGAACATATATCATGTCAACTCGATTTTGCCGTATTATAGTGTGAAAAAGTAGCTTTTAACAGGTGTCAAACGACAACAAAATAATTTTATTTGTTGTTGGTTTGAGGCTTTCGTCTAAAAAGGAACTTCTGTTGAGCCTAGTTGAATTTCATTCTAATATTATAGAAAATAAAACTACTAAAAATAAATAAATAATAAATTGTTTAAACGTTTCTTATACAATGCCAGACTATTAATTTAGTGCGTTGCGTTGACTTGAAATTAAAACACATATTTGTGAAATGACAGAAATCAGATGATTGTACTGACTGACGCCATTAAATTATTCTAGAAATAGCTGTTATTACGTGCGAAACGGCGGTATAGTAACAATTCCCGAATAGGCTCACTATTCTTAGAATTTGTAGATGGTAAAACGTAAAATTGATTTACTCTCGATTAACTGACGATTTATTCTAAGATTAAGATTTACTCTCTCTCTTTTATGGTTTTAAAGCCATATTAAGTAGTTGCAATGAAATATTTTATATATGAATAATGAATGGACTTGCGTATAGATGTTTTGTTGTATTATCATCATAATAAAGTTAAATGTATAGCTATATATAAATTGCTTTTATAGAGATTTCTGAAGCAATATTGTATTATTACCGTTTTGGTTTAGTGGTTTATGTATATAGGCCTAGGATTTTTTTCGAGTGTTTACTTAATTGATAAATAAATCAGATGGAGAAATGTGTTAAGTCTTGATTATTTCAGGATTCTGAGGCCGAAGTTGAGAAGTTTATTCAAGCGAATACTCAAGAGTTGGACGTGGATAAATGGTTGTGCCCTCTCAGTGGAAAGAAATTCAAGGGCCCGGACTTCATTAGAAAACACATATTCAACAAGCATGGAGAGAAGGTAAAAATAGTCATTTATGTCACCATTCATATTCCTAAAAGCAATTGATGACGTCATAAAGCGTCTAGTAAAGTGTCGTCATGAAATAAATGGCGCGGTGCAATAGTAGTATGTACTACAAAAATTACATTATTTGTTTGTATTGGAAAATTTTGGTTTATCAAAACGGAATAATAAAATATTTTTTATTGTAAAAATATGTGTTTGTTTGTTGTTTATGTTTTTTTTTAAATTTATTTACGTAACCTGGATACAAGTCTATTGGCCCATACTTTTTGCTTGATTTTTTGTCAGTGGTCGAGTTTGTTTTTTATTAATTGAATTCATAGGTGGATGAAGTCCGTCGCGAAGTATCCTACTTCAACGCGTACGTGCGCGACGTCCGCCGTCCGCAGCAGCCGGAGCCGGCGACCCGTCCCTCGCACCATGCTCCACCACACCCTGCGCATCACGCCCCTCCACCCGCGCCGTAAGTTCATACTTCAATATTGAAAAAAATTCACGCATAGTGATATTTGGTGGAAAAGGGGGTAAGTGTTAAAACATCCCCGTGCCTCCCACGTAAAGCTGTCGATACTGCAGCGCTAATTATGGCCTTTCTTCTTAACTTTAGGTAAGATTGCGCATTATTAGGTCAGAATATTTTTAACCATATTGTTATATCTTAGTTACGGCGGTGGCGGAGCGGCAGCTCGTGGTTGGGGCTGGGGCGGGTGGGCGCCACCCGCGCCTTATGCGCCCAGGCATCCACGTTTCTCGCGACCCAGGTAACGTATACCCATATTATATTGTATTATTAGTATCGGCACGTACATATGTAGGTAAGATTTTCATGTAGACAGTTACGTTCGCGTGTGTACGTACACTAAGGGCGGATACGACCTTACTTTTGTAATTCATAATACTAGAAATAATGATTACTTATTTATTCATTAGTCAAATCAAATCATTCATCTATCAAGATGTTTGTAGATCAAGCTTTACACGAGCAACTACAAAGAAATATAACAATCTTAATAAATTTATTATGCTATATGTTACATTTTATGTTCCTTATATCAATAGACATACAATATCGAAATAATATAAAGATACAATACGTTGTCGGTAAATAGTAATGATATGGAATAAAAATAAAATGTAACATTTCCAAATTTAATGGAATTTCCCGTTTTAGGCCGGTAAAATTCCGCTAGTTCAATGGTCACACCTATTCCAATTAGGTTACATGTCGTTCATCTGCGAACACTTGACTACAATCGGAAGTGGCTTCTCTATTTTATTGAAACAAATTAATCTGAAAACAACACATTGAAAAGTTCTTTTGCGATAAAGCTCCAATTGGTCGAATCTGCCCTTAGTAAAAATACAATCACTTCTTGATAACCTATGGGAACTATACATTTATCTTATGCCCCTATGTAACATACATTATTTTAATATAAAAAAAATTTCACTTAAGAAACTTAAATGATAGGTTTTAGGAAGAAATTACAAGGAAATTAACGAAACAGTCAATAAATTTTAAATTTTTAGAATAGCAATTATTAAGAAAGAAACACGACTTAGATGGTCGTTTTAATGACCAAATATATTTTATAACTTCTGTATATTAAAAAAATATAGGGTTTTTTATGTGTTTTGGATGAAGTTGTCTCGCTAATAGTTCAATCAATTTGTCTTAATTACGGTGGAGGTTTCTTAGTTTATTTTAATATAGTTATCAAATATACATATATTATTAACAAAGGCCTGAGAAATGCTATGATTCATTTATATCTATTTACAATTCGTATGCGTAATAGCACTGAATAATGTAACAGCCTGACCTTAGCATTTACAAATGTATTGTTTCGTATTTATTATTTTTTATTTATTAGCCTTGCTTTAATATTTTATACATACAATATATAACAATAACCGTGTGAACAATTTGAAAATCTTGAAAATTTAACTATAATTGGTTTATAATATAAATGGTTAACAATATAGTTCCATTTGAAAAATAAGTTTTAGTCCGAATGTAAATATAGACAGAGAGACATAATATAGCCATAGCATTTTGTTTCGTGTACATATTTAAAATATTCTGTACACATCCCCCTAAGCAGGATCTAAAAATACCTATCAATCATAATATCAGTGAATATTATATTGTTTTTATTAATATTCAGCCGAAAATTAACTGTAAACTTCTTGCTCTTATTGAATTGAGAACTTAGTTCACATGGTTATTGTTAAACGTGTATAGGTCGTGGCCGGATTGTCAGAATTGATCTTTTGGGACATGACACCTATATTTTGGACCTATTGATCTTTTTAGCATGTTTAATTTGCATAATATGTATGAACCAAGTTTGTGAGTTGCAACGATAAATTACAGGGAAAATGTGGATCGTTCCCGGCCTATTATTGCATACAACGATCTTGACTTCCCGGACAGTGGTGACATATTCTGAAATACTAAAAATATATCAATTATACATTACAATGTTGTGTGAACATCATCATTCTACATTTTTATTAAAATAATTTTTTTGACTCGTATATTGTGAATAATATTGATATGTATATTTGTCACAGCTCTATGTAAATGTATATTAACTTTACAATAAAGTGTCCGAAATATTCTCATTTTTATTTACACCTCGCACCTCTCCTTACTCGACCGGGAAGCTAAGATTAACGCTGCCAAAGAATTGTGTCATAGTGGCACATTTCGAATGACAACTAGCGCCTTAAATATAATGTTTTCTAAAGTCATATGCTTTGTGCAGCAAGCTTGGTTTGTAGAGAATGAATGAATGAAGTATACCCAAAAATACTCTTCGTTCTGCTCTTAAAATGCCATACACCGTATCAACAGATTTGCTATCAATATATATCGACCTTATAAAGTATAAAACTGTTGATTTTCTTGTCTTTTGAGGTGCAAAGCGAAAAAGAGCGTTTTCTAATGCTCATAGGTAATTGATTTTTAAAGGGGCGGCGGCGTCGACCTTCGTCCAGTAATTCACTACAGAGATTTGGACGCCCCAAGAGAACCCGACGAGTTCATATAATTCGGACAAGCAGCTTTGGAGTTATTAAGTAATTTTAACGTAGTTAGAATGTTGAAATGTATATAGATTTAGTCTATGAAACGTTTGCTTAGTCATAAAAATTAATTTGACATCTTGGTATTTTATTTACCCTTTGCAAGCACTTGGCAACAATTCATATTTAAGTCAAACCGCTGTATTCACGATCTTAGATTGCAATTGTTGTTTAATAATATAAAACAACTCCTTGAATGAAGTGTTTTTTTAAAGGTTATTTAATGTCACAAAATATTTCCTTTAAATCTGGACCATAAGTCCCTCTTATCTTATCAGTCTATAATGCACATCTAAACTTGACATAAGGTCCGTATCATCGCAGGTCCAACCTTCAGAAATTTAAATCTTAAATGGCTTTTAGTTGCGTTTAGTAACAAAGTGTCTTGCTCCGATAGAAAACACAAGTTTTTACACAGTATGATGACGTTTTGTATTTCCATACATATTATCTAAATTTGCAGAGACGTTAAGCAGGGTCCACACTATGCCGCGGTAGGCCGGGCGGGTTGACCCGGGTGGGCTAAGCCGGGCGGGTACGTTCGGGCCGGCACGACGTCCACACTGAAAACGAAGCCAACCGGGCTATTTCTACCTACATTATTTAGTTTCAACACCAAGACTGGTGATTTAGTTGAAGAGTACTTAAAATGAACAGTAAAAAACCCTACTTAAACAAACTGAATCGAAACTAAAATAATTCGTCTACTTCGGTCGGAGGTTTAATTGTAACTGAAGCCGCTCGGGGCGCTCGGCACGTCCCCATTCTATATTTTTGTTCGGCTCGGCTTCCTTTGATCTGTACCTACTTTATGCGGGTTGGGATCGGCACGGCCCGGGCCGGCATTTTCTAACCCGGCAAAGCCGCCCGGGGCGTCTACATCAACGCGGCTTAGGCCGCCCGGGTCAGCCCGCCCGGCCTACCCCGGCATAGTGTGGACCCTGCTTTATAGGTGCCTTTATGGTCCTTATAATTGTTAATGCATTAACGTAAAAAATGTAATTTTTAAGAAAACAATTTACCACAAAAGTTATTTTTATACTATTTTATGTAAATTCCAATCTATGCGTTGTTTCCTATTGTTTTTATAAGATATCAATTTATGATGGCAGACATAAATTATTTTACTATATCTATGAAGTCCTTTCTATTAAAATTAATACAATCATGAATAATCCTTGAATAGTTCGTCGAACTGATACGGTGTTGGGGAAAATCCGATTTTGAATCATGTAAATTATTATCTAAACGATCGAATGGTGAAGTCATTTTTTGAACAGAATCCGAACCTTTAGGGTGGCCTTGGCGATTTTTAGTAAAATGTATCCGGATTTGCAGTAAGTAGTATTGATATTTTGACCTCTGAATAACATAAGTTATGTTCCGCTTACACGTAATCATAGTTATTACCCATGAGTAAGTACAGACACTTAAAAGGTACTATTATCATATATTGTAAGTTATTGCCGTACTAAGATGTAACTAGAAGTAATAGTGGGTATTTCTGTACCATTTAAGTAAACAATATACAAATATAGTATGGAATGTGAAGACATGTTTCAAGTCCCGGATGTCAGCATATTTTATAATTTAATAACAGGGTTGACATTTATTATTTTCACGTCGCGATGATTAGAAAAAGCAGAATAAAGTAAGTAGCTCAGCGTAACGTTCGTCCGTTTCCATGGCTGGAAGTAACTTAAAATGGCTCATTATTGGATATACTTAGTAAGGTCATTAGATTAGCTTTGTGTTTATAATAAATAATTTTATAACTCTCGAGTAGGTTATTAAAACTATTACTGCGTTTCAAAACTAAGTCCATACTCGGCTATTTTCTCAATGGATTCTAGTTTTAGAATATGGCTGCAGAGAGGATTTATTCAGCACTCACAATCACAAGGCAATTAAATTTATTCTAATTGGGAAAATTATTTATTCAATTTACAACCACATTATCATTTATAAGTTCTGTGGTTTCACGACATGCCATACGTTAACGTCATGAAGATGTTTACTTAGTATTTTAGACGAAAATACTTCGAATAAGTACGTAATTATTAACTTTTGCAGGATGGTTGTTTGTTTCGAATTGCTCGAAATAGGCATTTACGCTAGGCACATTTCAAGGCTGCACAAGTTAAAGGTTTGCGCTGTAGGTATCAATTTTAAAATTAAGGGCTTTTATATGCATTTCTAAGCTTTTATGCCTCGATTATAATAAGATTCGTCATAATTAAAAGTCCTATTATTGTTGTCCATGCAATATTTGTGTAATGTCACTTCTCAGTAAACGCTAATAATTTTTGTTTTTTTGAACCGGGAAAAGAACATGGACTATTTCGATTACAGACATTAATATTAGGTCCTTACATATGAAATTGGCGTTTTGTATGGGAGGAACAAAAAGTCGAATATTTTTAAATATAATATATTTAATTAATCAAAGTATGAACCATTGTTTTCTATGCACTTTTGCCATCTCATAGGTAGTTCATTGATCCCTTTACTAAAAAAAACAGTCGGACGGGAATCAATAAAATCTGTGAAGGCGATTTGGACTGCCCCTTCAGAGTTAAATTTTTTCCCTTGCAAGAAGTTGTCCAAATTTTGGAAAAAATGGTAATCTGTTGGAGCAAGGTCCGGGGAGTACGGAGGATGTCTTAGACATTCCAATTGAAGCTCTTCTAATTTGGTAGCCGTCTGTTGTGCAGTGTGTGGTCTAGCGTTGTCGTGAAGTAGCAGTGGCGTGGAGCGATTGACCAGCCTAGGTTGTTTAGCCGCTAGCTTTTCCATCATGGTTTGCAATTGCTGACAATAGACATCAGCCGTAATAGTCTGGCCAGATTTGAGAAAACTGCAATGAACAATACTGGCACTAGTCCACCAAACGCTTACAAGTAACTTTTTTGGGGTTAATTTTCTCTTGGGGCAGGATTTGGCTGGCTGGCTGGCAGGATCCAACCATTGCGCTGAGCGCATTCGATTATCGTAAAGAATCCATTTTTCATCACAGGTAATGATTCGGTTTAAAATACCTTCATTATTGTGCCGGTTCAGTAATGTAACGCAGCAGTCGACGCGCGTTTGCCGGTTTGCTTCAGTCAATTCGTGAGGTACCCATCTTTCAAGCTTTTAATCTTCCCAATTTGCTTCAAGTGAATTAAAACAGTTTTATCACTAACACCGCAGCCTGCAGCTAACTCGGACGTGGTTTGCGATGGATCCGCTTCCACAACAGCCTTCAATACTTCATTATCAACTTGGGTCTCAGGCCGTCCACGGGGCTTGTTCTGCAGGTCGAAATTTCCAGAACGAAAACGTTGGAACCAAAAACGAACTGTGTTTTCTTTTGCAACACGACCGCCATACACATCATTCACCCTTCGAGTCGTTTCCGCAGCACTAGTGCCTCGGCGGAACTCGTACTCGTAAATAATGCGATACTTTTAGTGTTCCATTTTGTAAAATGAGTGACGCAAACAGAAAAAAACAGAAGAAAAAAAAATTAATGACGGTCATCGAAGCACAAATACATGAGTAAATAGCTGTACAAATTTGAATTTGGAATTCCTTACCAAAGAGGAGAAAATCGTGATTAAAGTGGCCAGTACGAAATACGCCAATTTCATATGTAAGGACCTAATATTATTATATCTCAGTAATAATCATCACTTTGATGCAAAAATATACAATTTAATAAAATATATAGACGTAACTAGAGAGTATTTAATTATTATTTATTTATTTACACTTTGTTACCGTATACAAAAACATACATATAAAAAAGCAGGTTACATAAGTTATTAATATATAGGAAACGGGCAGCCTTATCGCTAACAAGCGATTTCTTCCAGGTAACCGTAGTATGGAAGAATAAAAAAGAAACACCTACAGAGGGTAAAGTACAAGAAGCGCATAAAAAATTAACAAAAAATAATATGTAACACTAACTATAACTAGAATAAAGTAAAATGTAAAAGAATTAATGTATATAAGTAGCCAATTACGAGTAGAAGATAAATGATCAAAAAGAAGGATACTTTGCACAGTGAAAGAGGAATGATAGAACTCAGTTGTATAAGTAGACGTTTCAAGAATTAGGTTGTCAAGGGAACGCAAATCAAAACTACCACCAGAGAGGATCATAAAATTTTACTTTAAGTAACCAGGAGTTTTAGTATTAAAAAGAACATTATAGAGAAGTTGTAAAATGTGCATCTTGCGCCGCCGCAACCGAATGGGTGGCCAATTGAGCTTTCTTCGGAACTCCGAAATATGGGTCAAATTTACGTAATCCAATTATGAATCTGATGCATTCATTTTGTAAACGCTCCAACTTATCAAGCTGCAATTCAGTTAAATCTAGATAACACACATCAGCGTAATCAAGAATAGAGAGTAGGAGAGAAAATTTAGTAGAGATAGTCAAAAAATTTTGTAACCTATTTGGTGCGTGAAAAGAAGAAAAGATCCTTCTGCTCAGTTTGTTAATTTGGGGCTGCCAAGACAGGGTTGTGTCCAAAGTAATGTCCAGGCCCAGGTTCGGGTGGAGCAAAATGGAATGACGGTATTACCCAATTGTAAATAATACGTAGATAGGACAATCATTCTATCCCCTAGTTTCATAATCTATACATTGACGTTTTTTACCATAAGGAATGTGTGAGTTTCGTTTGCCTAAGTCATTGACATACCAATACATAAATTTTTTTGCATACCTATAGATATATATTGTGTTTTGCTAACACTGAATACGCGTCATGGTCCATTGGTATAATCGGTCGATTTATACTAATACGCGATCGCCTCTACAACAACCGTCAGGTCACCCATTTAAAATGTTGTCAAAATGTATGTACCATAGCGTGACAGGAAAACAGGAGTATCTGGGAAGCGGTAAAACATCGACCTACATCAGATCAATTATGTTTGTTATGAATTTCTTTCTTTTTTATATAAGTTAACGTGATTTTGGTTTTGTCGAAGTAAATAAAAGATCATCTATATCCCTGTAGGACGGAAATGTTGATTAGACAAATTACTAGTAAGTAACAGAAAATTAAATTTGATACTTTATAGTACATTTTTGAGTTTATTTTGTTTCTTTATAATTTTTAAAGAACAAAATGTATTTTAAAAACTTGCACTAATACACACAAACTAAACTTTAATTAAAGCGCTAACGTGTAAATACCCATCTCCTCCAGGAAAATAATATTGCGTGAGTAATTTATTATCATGCAGACCGCACTGCTTTTTATATAATATGCGAGACATTTAGCTCTGATACAAGTTCAAATTCGCAGTAAACGCCAACAGGTTTTGTTATACCTATGCTACGATTTGTGTATCGCTTTATAAAGCCAGCCAGTATCATAATAACAACATTATACTCGTAAAGCTTCATTACAATGGAGCTCTCGGTGTCGGTGTGTTTAGTGCTAACCTTGAGCTTGGTGACTGCGTCGCCCTATGGATATAGCGCGAATAGTGGAGCTGTTGCAAGAGGTGCAGTAAATTTTTGTTTTGTGTTATCAACGTCTATATTAAATGAAATAATCACTATAACTATATAATATTTAACAAAAAATATGATTAGATTATGTTGCATGCATAAAAATGGTATAGGTATCTAAGAATAACACTATTAAAGTCCATATAGATTCATTCGTCATAAACCACTTTTAAATATAATATTATTTTTATATAAGTCATTGGCATATTTTATCTTATTTTATTTTATCGTTTGTCCTGTGTTATGTGTTATTGTAATTTAAATTAAGTGTTATTATTAAGTCATCGTGGCGACAACAACAAATCTTTAGAGCTCCAAATTTTATTTATGAATTTAATATAATCTACTTTATTGTCTAAACTTATTTATTTTATATTCTATTTACAGTAGGTAATTATATTTTTAATAGTACACAGCATACCTAAATCGCAGTAAAAGACTACTTGTAAGCTACGCAGTAGTAAGCTACTGCTGCTACTTTTTTACTACAATTTCTCATTAATTACTTCAATAAAATATGTCTTGAAAAAAAACTAACATCTATTATTTTCAGCTGTAGCAAGCGCTAGTAGCGCCGGCAGTTTCTCGCAGTCATCATCATCAAGTTTCGCATCATCAAGTGCAAGTGCAAGCTCAAGCTCTAGTTCCTTCAGTTATAGTGGTGCAGGCGCCGGACAAGTTACTGGTTTTGGAAAAAAATTTGGATGTGAAGGAAATTGTCAAAATGGAGTAAAGAATGATTTCGGGCCGTCCAGTCATGGATCTAGTAATAACGGTGGATTTGGGGGACATAATTTTGCCGGTGCATCTGCCACAGCCGGAGCTGTCGCAAATGTTCCTATTGCCGTTGATCAGCCTTGCCATGGACCTAATTGCTTCGGAAATTCTGTCAAGAAGTGCACTAGCAGTCAGTGTGGGGGGATAAATACTAATGCAAATGGAAACAGTGTGGAATCTACGGGAAATTCATCTTCGGAATCCAAAAAAGGAGATCACAAATTAGATATAAACAGTGGATTAAAACAAAGCTCGCCTATTGTTCCTTTTGATAAACAAGTAAATAATGAAAACGACAAAGTTGGAGATTGTCAAGGACCCGCGTGCGTTGCTTTTCTTCCTCTAAATCAGCACGATAGCAACAATAAAAATTTAAACATACAAACATCATCAGAAACGTCGTACCAAGAACAAGCATGTGCTACTCATGACTGTAAATTAAGTCCTTCTACTAACCAACGAAAACCATCAAGCTATAATGTTCCTATTTTGGGACCACAAACAAACGTCGAAAAAGAAATTCCTATTTGTACATCGGGCAATTGTCAGGATGCTAATCATGTTGAAAATCATAATTACGACGAAAAAACCTTACAATCTTTGAATGCTAATAAACCATCGACCACCCTTCAATTGCCCACAGATTCATTAGGCGAAGCTGCACTGTGCAATTCTAAAGATTGTAATAATCCTTCTTATCAAGGCGAACCTGCAGGATCACACATTGAGCCCGGACATATTATTAATAAACCAGTTTTAAACGCTAATGTTCCAAAACCTTATGATGATGCCAATACACCGCAATATACCCAAGATCAACAATCATCTGGGCCCAATAAGCTAGTTAATTCTGTAACTACTCCCGGCCCCTCTTACACGCCAAATGTTCCTACAGGATCAGGCAATATACCAAGCTTTGAGTTAAATTCGTCTTACTACCCTAACAGACCAGCCGGCTCTAACGATAAAACTGGAGCAGAAAGATATGACAACATTCCTTCTCATCAAACCACTGGACCTCAACTTTCAAATATTGATAATTTACATCACCCTGCTATCAATTCTGCTACCTACCCTGCTGAGAGCGGAATAAAGAAGCCTGTTCATAAACCAGTACTTTTGAATCTAAATCCTATTACGAAGCCTACTGGAAATTTCTTCGATACAAGTATAAGTACTCCTTCAAAATCTGAAGTTAATCCTTCTCATGGAATCCCTTCTTCAGGACACTCTTTTTTCCCCGGAGATGCAAGTAGTTATGGCGCATTCCCATCAAGCCCTTCGTATTCTAATAGAAGGCCTTCAAACTCTGAAATAAATAGTCCTTCCGGCTCCGATGGCGATCTCATTTGTGCTTACGGTAATTGCGCCAACGCTCCTCAACCCAGCCACCCTATTTCAAACAGGCCATTTGATATTAACTCAAATATACAACCATCAAATTTCCCTCAAATTCCGTCAACTAATCAAATCGGTTGTACGACGCCAAACTGCCAACCCCATGTTGGTTACGAAAACAGTCCTAAAATTAAACCTACTTCTCCAGAAAGTACCATAATAGAAAAATTTAATCCATCAAAAATAGACTCCGAAGTGTTGTTGTCAAATAAAGGAAATAAAATATATTCTGGGGGATTCGGTGGCCCAGTTGGTATCCTTAGTGCCAATAATAATGATAAACCTACCAGTAGCATATTTATTAATCCTTCTGATGCATATCATAATGCTCCTCAAAATACCTTTTCACCACCTCAAACTTCAATAGGACCTAGTTCTATTCAATCCTTGCCGTCTCATTCAAACCAACCATCTACGTCAGGACAACAACCTCTTAATACAAATAATTTTAACAAACCAGGGCTATTTGTGCCAAGTGTTGCGAATATTCCATCCGATGAAAATAAACGTCCCTACACTGGTGGTTTTGGCGGGCCAGCGGGTTTATTGAAGCCAAATGAATTTATGCTACCGCCAACTATACCAAAAGTGGATTGCTCATCAGGTAATTGTAACCCTAGTCAAGGCCCTCAGAACGGATTATCTGGAGCGCTTGGTACGTCTCACGCCGCGGCCGGGGCTAATGCTGCAGCCGACGCTAACGCAAATGCTGCATCTTTTTCTGGGTCCTTTGGCGGTCCACCTGGCCTTTTTAAACCTTTTGACGAAGGCAAACCAGACCAAACTGGAAATGTCCTAGGTAAACATGGAAATGGTTTTGGAAACCTTGGTCCAAGTCACGTACAGCCTCATTCTAATGGTGTTGGTGGCAATCATGCAAATGCAGCAGCATCTGCATCTGCTGGGACAGGCAGTTACAGTCATTCCGGAGGCTGCAATACGGGGTGCTCGTCGAATGGAGCCGGTCAAGATCAGAGCGCTGCTTTAGGGCAGAGCAGTAATGGAGTACAACATAGCCTTAATCACGCAAGTTCAACTGCTTCAGCAAAGAGCGTTGCTGGTTATAACGCTCATGGAAGCAGTATTGCAACTGCTAGTGCTCATGCTTCAGCGGGAGCTTCAGTTAAAGGAGGTGAGCTTTAAATTTAAATTGTATAAACCTCACTAGCATAAATATTATAAAATAAGAAAACATTAATTATTAAAAATTACAATTGATTGAACTTGATTGGATACCGGTGTATACCAATATACACCGGTATCCAATCAAGTTCATAAAGTGTAATTTGTTGTAAGTGTTTTACAAAGTGTAATTTAATTTCGGAACCAAAACCACCCCGAAACTACAAAAGAAGTTATGTTTGTTTGTTTTTCTTGTTGATCGATCTAATTGTACCACTATCTTGGCAAATAAACGATTTAATTATTATTATTTACAACACACAGAAGTTAAAATTAAAATTTTTAGCCTTGACTTAGTATTTTTCTTTATTTTCTTTAATTTCAATTGATATTTATTCTACATTTCAGGTGCATGGAAATAAAAGACTGAATCAGAAATACATGCATTACGTCACCGGGAGTCATATCGAATTTGCAGTTTTTGTGATTATAATATATGTGAGATAGCTGATAGAACTTTAAAATAAATTAGAAAGTAAATAGTATATTTAGATTTTGTATTTTAATAAATGATTTTACTATTTGGCATCTTGTTTCATTATTTAAAATTTTAAATATAAATGTGTAAGCAGAATGTTCATTCAAATTTTAAATTAATACGTTTTACGGTAAAAAGTCTAGCTTTGATAAACCAAACTTCGAAATCAGAGACAAAATTTAAATCTTTAAAAATATTCTAACTAACAAAGCAACATTTAATTATTTTCTAATAGTTTGATTATATTAAGCACTATTTACAAAAAATGATGTCATATCCGCCTCTCGGCTCACGCCTCATTCAGATTGTATCCGCGTTGTCATTCTAGCACATACAATGTCAATGTTAATATGTAAATGAAGATACAATTTATAGAGATCACTTGAAAATTATTCTTATCTTGACTTGACTTGATTTATAAACTTATCTTGACCGACTGCATCCCAAATCAGGGCAATGATGAATTTTAACCAGGGTATAGATTCAAGTCATGTGTGATTAAAGAGTCATACTAAATAAATTAACCATAAGAATAAAACGCAAATAAACGCAACGCCAACAATAATGGTCGAAGTACAAAATTATACGAACTATCCTATGAACATATCGTGACGTACAACTGCAAAAGTCTAGAGATATTGTACATCTCGTAATTTGTGAATATGCACAGTATTTGTGATTAGTTTAAATTTCAATAGAAATTGAACTAATAATATTTTATTCTTACTGTCCAGTACAACCAAACATAAAAATACATTTTTTTACAAAAAAAAATTAATTTTTTTAAACTACTCCAGTTTTGTGAACTCCAGCCAGGTGTACTCGCTCTTAAGCATCCCCACCATCTTGTAATGATTAGATATTCGATTTGTTCCCACATACTCGAATCTGCTTTTATATTCGTCCAAAGAATGCCTGTGTCAATGGGACAATAGGCAATGTGTGAATATTTATCTGTGACATGATCACGAATAAGTTAATGAAAATATAAGAATAAGATCATAAGCTTACAATGTATTCGTCTTACTGTTGATTTAAAATAAGGCCGTCAAAATTAATCAAACCACGTACTCTGTAAGTAATCAAAATCGTCCCTAAATTGAACTTAAACAAATTTCAAAATTTAAACAATCTATTCCTTTAAATTTTTTTAAGGTTTTTGAAAGACGATATTGCTAATTTTTATTATCAGCTGAGTAGTATTTCTTTAAAGTACCTACTTGAATTTTTGACGTGACTAAAAGTCTAGCAGATGTCTAAGAAAATTCTGAAATATCTATCTCTATGTAATTACTAATTTTCACAATTAGTAATTATTAAAACATTTTGTACAGCTTTAATAATTTCATCATAAATTACATCGAAAGCTACGAAATGACAAATTTGCGTACGCCAAAATCAGATTGTACTCTCATATTTTGTACATCATATTCTTGCAAATAAAGAATAATTATTATACGGATCGAGTTTAAATGTTTTCCCAAGCTTGAATCGACCTCTGTTTTTTTAACGCAATATTTTTTGTCATTCAGTAGTTACTAAAATTAAAAAACTAGCTTATTAACCAATTAACTAGCATTGATACAAAATTTAAATGACATCCTTAAACGTTCTCGGTTAAACTATGTAAGACTTATGTTAAAGGACTATTATGTGTAATTTAATATAATTATTGTAGCACTTAGTATTAGGATATAAACAAGGAATATACACTAATCAGGACATAAATCACGAGAAGATTGTATATCTGTTATAACGCACGCAGTCTTCTATTGTTCAATGTTACAGAACATTTGAATAAATTATTCTTTGTGAAATGATGTAACCGTCCACAGACAATAAATACACCTCTCATCTTTAAATTTATATTTTAGATATCTTTCCATCCATTTGAGGAAATTTTTCCTCAAATTTTTTATTTAGTTTCGACTCGGAAAACATATTTAAACGAATTACTGTGTACTCTGTAACAATAAACCAAAATATTATATCGGGATTTGACGACGAAACGAAATCGAGTTTGATAGAAGTAATTTTAATACATGTAAACATAAATAATCCTACCTTTAAAAAAGTATATGGAAAAAATAATGTCGTATTTTTAATTGGAAATACCAAAGCTTAAATCGTCTGTCGCCGAAAGTTTATGTATGTCTTCTGATTGATTTCTTCTTGCGTGCATACCTTATAGGTTAAATATCTTTACGTAATAATATATTGTGACCGAAATTTCAAGAGGCATTGTTTAATCGTTCGCGATTACGTTCATTTAAGGAGATAAAAAGTACATCTTATAAATATAATAATTGGCAGTGGTTGGAAGAACCAGCTTTGTTTACCTATAATTACATTGTACTCATACGTACCTGTTATCTATTAGTATGTACAACAAGATAAACAAAAATCCCGTTATGCCACAGGGGGAGATATCTTGGCCTGTTTTACTAATCATTTTTGTTTCTCTGTCTTTCAAATCGAAACAAATATTGTTTTACAGGTATTGAACCTGGGTCATTTCCAATCTAAACCAAGCTCTTTATCAACAAGCTACTTTCGTTTTATACAACATTGTGCCTATAATTATTGTTTACTATTAATAAATGTTTCCCGGAATAAAAGATAAAACATACCCGTAATTCCTTAGATTGAACATAATATATTCAAATTTTGAATAAATTGCTTAATAAGTTTTTAACCATATGTGTGAAATACCAGACTGACGGGATTATGTTAAGCTTTAAGATTTATTATGTTGCTCTAGTTGATTGGGGGTGCGACTCTCGTACCTGAGATCGTAGGTTCGAATCACGGCTGTGCACTAACGGACTATTCTTTTTATGTGGCAAAAGCAGAGGAAACTGAAATGCCGGCTGATCACGAACTTGCCTACTAGAAATAAAAAAAAGATCAGTGAAACAGATACAGAAATTTATGAGGATGACCAAGGGTTGTAGCGCCATTTGTTTTTTAAGCTCTATCACATCGGTACTTGCTCGTACTTTCGTATTATATATGTACCTACATAATACACAAGAATTTGTGACTAGCCAACCAGCCTTGTTAATATTAAAGGAAACAAAAAAAATAACCTGTTTTTTGGGAATGAAGATACGAACTTCACACAAGATCGTTACAAATATAAAGAAGCCCAAAAAACACGGTATTACGGATTGAAGAAGCTACTTATTACATAATTTTTTTTGGAATAGCGAAAGACAAATATACTTTATCTACAATATTTCATAAAAGTTAAAGCTTTGTCAATGTCAACGGACACACGCACAAGTATTTTGACCCACTGACTAAACTACGTAACACGGATTGATTAACTATAAGCTAGATCGAGAGATAAAAATGCCACAAAATAGAAAAGACTTACCGTGACAATTTCTGTTACTTGCTATGCTTTCCTTGCAGAATCTTAAATCGTATTTATCTGTTATTCCATTTTAATTACTAAAAGTGGCTTTTAATTATGATCCTAGCCAGAGATCCTAGCTAGCGTTGTTGAATACTGTTTAGCTTGTTAAGAATTGCTAAAAAGCTTAATCAGATCTCAGATTGATTCAAAGGGAAGTTTCTAGTTTCTATTTCTGAATATTTTCAAACCAAAAAATACACTATTGAACCAAACTGATACAGATCGAATGAACGAAAACGTAAAACTAGAGCGACATTATCTTACTATCATTAGTCAAATACAATCAAGGCTTGGCTATTCCTTAGTATTTGTTTTAAGGGATAGTAGCCGTGATTCACAAATATACTATCTTATTGCCGCGCATATATGGAAACATCGACCACTTTTCAATATCTATTTATCAAGTCTGTTCTTGTACTCAGAGCTCTATTGAGCAATGTCTTGCAAACTGCTGTTCTTTGGACGACAATGCCGTGTCAACCATCGAAGACAAACACTCGTTATCTTATGAATAATGCCGATTATGTTAGGTAAACACGCACGTTTTCAAGTGCATTTTTCACGAATCGCTATTGTATACATGATGTTCCCTAAATCGAGCTAAATCTATTTTACTATGGTCGTGCCTACGTTGCGTTGATAAATGTTATTAAGTACCACCGCATTTCGGAGTTAAGATTAAAGCTTTTCGTATATTTATGTGCATGGACCGAACCGTAAAAAAAAGAGGACAGTAAGTAGGTAAGTTAATCCAAAATGAATAAGATTTATTATAAGTACCGTCTCATAATGGTATGGATAAGTGCTCCAAAAGTATATTAAGGTGACTTCAAAATACATTATCTTTAATACCAAGGTTTCATTGTCAGATTAAGGCTAAATAATTTAATTTTGGTCCTTGCTACGTAATTACGTGGGTGTGATTTAATTTCAGATCGGATTATTTATTGATTGTGAAAAGCAGATGATAAATGTCACTGTAATGTATGTTAAAATTTGTTTATATAATATTACATGATGCCGAAAAAGCTGTTCAGCCTGTGTACGCGAAGCACGAGTCACCTAGTTATCGCGCCCATTGTCCACTCCATGCCATCCGCCGCTGGGTGAGCCTCGCCATTACCTCATACTTTCAATATTGGGTTACGAGAATTTTTCTTCAAGGTCTTCTTTTGGCTGCAAATAGTGGTGGTATAAAGGCAAAGACGAGTAACATTAATACGCAGTTGTGCTTTAGTAGCCCATACGAAAATGAATGCATCGATCGCATTTTTAATCTGCTGTGTCGCAGGTGGGTTTATTTATATTTATAATACCAAATTATTGATATGTTAGTTTAGCGAAATACTAAAGTATTGCATATATGTAGTAACAACAACAAAAGCTTGCGACGGAAGGGCACAACATCGGATTGCACTTAAGCAGTTTAGTGTTTTGCAAATTCATTCGAATTCTGTACAAAATGCTACTTTATTCTACGTTACTTAAACGTAACGTTTAGTAACTAGTTTTTATTACTAATTTTATTTTTCAGGAAGTACATTAGGCTATTATGTGCAGAGAGAGACACCCTATAACACTGGACCAAATGATCCATACAGCGTAGAAGTTAGCCCGAATCTTTTATTAGAACCATCTCAACGTATATTCTGGGGAAATGGAGGAAGTAACCAGGTCGGGGGAAACGATTGGTGGAGTAAAATAACCGATAAATTTCCATTTTTACGTAATAAGTTTGGAAGGATTCAAGCGGAATATGGTGTCCCAAATCCTGCACCTGTCTACGGCGCACCGACTAGATTCGTTCCACAATTTTACACTCAGAATGTTCCGCAATTTGTTCCTTTTGCTCGAGATATTGGTTTTACTGACGACGCTGTCATAATAACACCACCAAATGTTCCCATCGCACCTCAGCCCTTGCCACAGCCGGTGCCACAGCCTGCACCTCAACCTGGATACCAATATAGTAAACCACTAAATCGCTTGGTTTTACCTAACCATTAATTGAAGTAACTGCATCTTTATTACGGGTAATTTTATGTTATTTTCGGTTTTATTTTGTGCTCGAACGATGTAGCAGTTTTAAGCAGTATTAAAACATTATTTAAGGAATAACGAACATAAAATAAATATTTTAAATAAATTCCCATAGTTCGCTATTACGTTACTTAAACTTTAGGCTTAAAACATAAGGAATTGTTTAAAGGCTTTGATTATTTATTTCAATGAATTTGTATGAATAAAAAGCTTTATATGTATTAATATTTTATTTGTATACCTTACCCATTAGGTCTCATTCACCCAAACTGACGTAATATTAATATTTAAATAAATTACAATAAAGAGGAACTTTCAGTGATATGAAATGATTTATTATATTAATTACCAACTGAAGTATATTGGTCGTAATATCCTCTGCCGGAAGAGTCAACACCTACAGACGATCCCGCGCTGACTGATCGACTTCCGGTAACTGGACCTGACTGGCGTCGGGTCTCACCATAGCTGGAATACGAAATGTCTTGAGCAATAAAATAGATAGAAAAATAGCTTTTTGTTGTAATCTTTTTTATTAACGCCTTGAAACATTTTCAAGCAACCGTGTAAGTTTTCATTTGCATTTGCATGTTGAAAGCAAATTTTCCTAACTACTTTGAATATACAGAATAATATAAACCAATTTCTGTACTCTGTTTAAATTTTGTAATGGATAAAAAACATTTTAGGAGTAAACTATTCTAAATAATAATATTTTAGATAGGACTCATCCTTTGAATAAAATCTGTGTACGATGTCTGGGTTTAGGCCCTAAACCCTAAACTTTAGGGGTAGGTCATTTGGATGCGTAATTATAAAATAAATGAACAACATTAACAATGAAAAGCAAGAAGATCTCCGATTAATGAAAACGAATGGTATAACGCCTGCCCTGCGATTCTGTAACTCACGCGAAAACCGCTGTGTGAGTTCGAAAAGTGAGTTACAGAATCGCAGGGCTGGTTATAATATCGATTTTGATAGTAGCGACATTTGACTTTAGAAATGAATGAGTGACCAATGTATCAGTTTTAGCAGTTGGTTTACTTTCTAAATTTAATTTAAATGTTTTTTTTTATCTCTTATATTATAAGTTAGGTTTTCTATTATATCCACCATTAATAAATAAAAATGGGTGTAAGAAAGAAAAACATACACAAGAATTTTTTTATTAAACCATAAAGTAATTACTATTTAAATACAAGAAAAGGTATCTTCCGGCAGTTACACGGTGATTGCACGATCGGCGTGTCGTGCAACTGATGGAAAATTCGCGCAGTGGATGAATGAGCCGTCACCAAGTTGTTAGTTTGCGATGTCGCATGTTGCTTTTCAGTTAGTGCCTAAAACATACAATAGGTAAATTTTAAATACAAAGGAAAGAAAAATTCAATAGTGCAGGCTACCAATTATAGTTTTATTTATAGGTAGGCTTCATAGAAGAACACACATAAACATATTTTGTTATATGTATGGGTAATCGTATATGGGAATATAAGATAAATCACCTTATAATTCATTGGATATATTAAATATGAGCAGGCTTAATAAGCGGTCCCTTATTATAACGATGCACTGTCCCTTCACAAAATGTGAATCAATAGATAATACAAAGAAACTATTAAAATAAAGGATATAAAGAGATTTGTTCTTTGTGAGTTATTATAGTTACATATTTTTATGTATTGCATAATAAACACAATTTTTACTTAATTTGTTTTGTAAAATTATCGCTGTAGAAACTAAGCCCAATTTTTCTGACATGGACTTTTGAGTTTTAAAATTTCTCCTGGCTGCTTATTGTTTAAGAATATGAAACATAATTACCTTAATGCGTTAGGATTTGCAGCGCCGTAGCCAGCTCCAATGGGGAGGCCCCAGCCCCCAGAACCTGCGCCTGCCTGTGCGTTGGCGTGGGCATTTGCATTAGCATTGCCACCACCCCCTGTGATACAAATTTATTAATTAAAAAAACTTGAGCTTATTTTAAGTACTAATAGACATTTAACAACAAAACAATCGACGTTAGTTAACAATGAAAGTTCTTCGTTTTCGTCTTACTGGGTTTCCGGTTTGGAAAATGGATACAATTATAGTTAAACCTAAATATTATTTCCCTTTATTGATGTACTCAATAAGTGTAAGTATGCTAGCAATAACAAAAAGTGCTACAAAAAGTTATATTTTCAAACTAAAAGCACAAATTTATTACAAAATTCAACCATTGGTTTATTTAACAAGATTGTTTAACATTTAACAAGAATTTTGTGTTAGTGAACAATAACGATGATTATATTATTTACATTATATATTTGATAGTTTACAATTTTACTTCAATATTTTTTTTATTAATTTAACCTTATTCTGTTGTTAAAGGGACGCTAGTCCCACTAAGACATTCCTGTGTTGTGACTTGTAGGTGACTACTCTTCCGAGGTATAATAAAATAACAATAATAATATACAGTGCAAAAAAGTTGTAGATAATAATTACAGTTAATAAATTAATATTGATTGATTATCTTAAGTATGTTATAATGTAAGTCGTTATAGATATAGGTACAATTGACACAATAAGTAGTGCCTAAGAACCGTTATAACGCGATGCCGAAGGCAATCGAACCAGACTTGCACGTTCAAATCTACTGTTACACTTAATTTCATTCACTACATAACGTGTAGGTTAATACCAAACTAGGGCATGCATATATAATTAATCTTATTTACATTTTAAGAAAATTCAGTAAAGTACATTCACTTGCACACTGTTTTGTTTTAATAGGGGAAATACCAAGAATAAATTGATTTATTGTCTCGTGACATCTAAACTCTCTGGCCTTCTGTACCATTTAAAATGTATAAAAAGTAATGGACCATTTAAAATTAGACTGTCAAGATGATGTCGGTTTTTTAAAGGACTTTATTTGTAAACTAATGTGGTGATGATGGTATCTAACAGCAAGTGCGTGGTCACGAAGAAGGTAGGTGCTTGTTTATTATGGGTTGAAAGTAAATTCTGCAAATTGATTACCAACGTCCGCTTTTGATTTAAATATTAACAACTATATACCGTTATAGGAATTTAAATGACGCAAGTAAGGTTCATTTCTTCAAGTCGCTTAATACATTAACACTATCCTTAAAGCTAATTGATATTAATTTGTGAACAAAAAGCTAAATTTAAGTGTGTAATTAGCACATAATTGACTTTAAGCGTATAAATAAAAACTCATGGTACAGGAAACGAAGATCAGCTCAACCGTATATTGTTGATTCAAAAATCGTGACAACGCTTTAATACCACAAAAATACATGAGAATGGTCGGAAATTGAGTCATTGCAATCCACGAGAAATCCTGTTTTTGTGAATCATGTAGTAATTTCCGTTGTTTCTAATTTAAAGAGTGTACCCATAAACAAATAACTATATAAATTATGTTAATTTCCTCTTTAGTTACCTCAAGTAGTCTGTGTGTGGTCAACTAACAGTAATTGTTTGGACAACGCAACTGAGTAAATATATGAAATGTATGAACCTCTGTTAATTTTCCGTAAAATACCATAACCGAATTACTTTGAACTTCAATAATTGAACTGAATTACTTCCTTTTTTGTAAGGTTTCGCGGGTCTCAACATACTTTAAAGTACCTATCCTTCAACATTTACGTTAGGTTACGATTTATTTTAATTTACCAAAGTCCACATTTCCGTGGGACAAAAGTAGTTAGCAAAAGGCTAATCCAATGGACAAGCTCGCTATTTATTTAAACTGGTTACGAAAAATACATTCGAATTCCAATTTAAAAATTTGCTTTCAAAAATGGCTTTTAAACTGGCTTTTTATTTTTGAATTTCGTGAAATACTTACAGGCATTTGCTTCAGCGTTCGCATTGGCATTCGCTCCTCCATATGGGGTCGAATAAGGATTCAGGGAGCGTCGAAGCCTGCGCATAGGCACCGACGCCGACTGATGACCCTCTGCATCTATTGTGTAGTAGGCGCGCGGGACGTAGTATTGACCCTCTGGAATGTAAATTGAATTTGCAGTGTTCTGGCTCTTTACACCATGACTAAGAGAATGTATAGTAAAAGCGTTTTGCGGGTCACTCTATTGTAGGTAACCGTTAGTGGAGTATATACATTTGAGTTGATTTTTTTAGGATATTACTATTCATTAGGATCAACTTGATCATGACAATAATATTTCTTATTTATAAATATCTTGTTTACGCTGTAGACCTAAAAGAAACTTGCCTAATATTTATTAAGTAGTCTCAAATATACTTCTACTTAGTATGTAAGAATACTTAATAATGTAATGACACAAGCTACACTTTAATTACAATGTGTATAATATACACTGTTGTTATGCAGATGTGATATGTATGAATAACATGAACTATCGGCCATATTAAAATAAGTAATGTACGAAAGGTAGTTAAGCGTATTTCAAATATTTTTTCTGTTAGTCATATATTTTAGGTTCGTTTTATATAATTCTATAATTAAACTGACCTTTTCAAAACATCATTGAATAGAAAAGAATATGCATTGCCAAGGATAAGTTAGGCTTGTTAAAAACTGAGATCATCAGCAATCATCGTATCTTCCGTGTCGTGACTTAAATGGACTTTAAATAAATTCGTGATTATTAATTACTCATGTAAAAAATTAAATATCATATATCATAATAACTCATAAATTCCACAAAGTACACTTATATGTATATAAAACGCCGTCATACAAAACAAATAAATAAATTAGCTTTCAAAAGTTGTTGATTGGATGGCTTTTTTTTTGTAAGATACTTTGTCTCACCTGGCTAAAAAAATTAATAAAATAAAGTTATTTACTTTGCATGATTGTGAGAAATATTCCTTCGTGTTTCAATTAAAAATATTGTATGTTTTTCCTAAACATGATAAGACTTATGTTGTCAGCAACTAAATACATCTTGTATTAACTAAATACATTATAATAATAATCTATAGTTCGATTTTTAAAAAGTTCTTCGTATTGAAGGTATTTTTTCATAAGATATATTGGTTTCTAAACGAAAAATACAAATCTATAGTAGCAATGTCTGCGTAGCATATCGTAGATTAGCACGAATGAAACCCCGTGAAATATAGATTTGTAATAGTTGGACAATTAGCCGCTGAAAATGAGTCAACGTATTGTTATAGCAGGCATCGGAAATATTAATGATTTAAGGGGTTATTGTAAGCACAAGCAAGCTCTACTCAGCGACAAAAACATGAGGGCACTAACCTGCAAGAGCCACGGTCAAGACGACCGCGAACAAAAGTAATGTGATGGTTTGCATTATTCAGGCTAACGTCGTACCTTCACCGACAGCGGTTGGAAACTGGCTCGTCTCAGACCACAACCGTTTTATATGTATTTACTACTTCGCGCCTGATCGCATCTAAGCTTTCAATGCCTAACGGTTACGTTAGCAAAAAGCTGACTCAAATGGAACCTGTCAAATTAGAACAAAAAAATCGAAGCTGCCGTTTTCAAATTCTATTGAAGCTGTTATAATTAGATGTTCGTATTTGTTGGCCGCTATTTAAAAGGTCCATCTAACTGTAATTTTCTTTATAAGTAGATAATGTTTTTGTTTATTTTTGTATATTATCCTTGAAGGTTGAAATTATTGCTCGAGTTTCTGAGTGGCGATAAAAGTAGCGTCTCAGTACAAGGAAAATCAGCATATGCTGCCAAAGTCTCATTAGTAATTTAAGAGTAAAATCATATTAAAAGCTTGTAAAATTCGAATTGCATTACCTGAATTTAAAATACAAAAATATTAATTATAAAATATCGCTTACGAGTACATAACCATAATTCCACCTTGAGTTATTTAATTTGCCTTTGTTTCTTTACGAAGAAACAACATAAAACGTAATACTAAAAATCTGTTTGTCTGTCAGTATAGTTCAATCAAAAGATTTACCAGAGGAAATACACAAGTAAACATGATAATAATATTAAACCTTGCTGAAATTGTCCTTTCTACTTTAATTGCCAGGGAACATGTTATAAAATGTGATCTTGGTTTAATATACAACATTATCGAGGGCGTTTTATTCTTTTCTTATTTTATTTAGTTGGTGTGCAGGATAGGCGAGTGAAGCAACGCAGCTCTTCAGCGTTAGTCGAAGAATCTCATCGACGTCAGACCTTAAATGTCACATAAGACTTTGAAGTGGTTATTGTATTTTTGATAGACGTACATAATATTTCACAATAATTAGTCAATAAAACTACAGTCTGATGTCATCTAAGCGAACTCTCCTTTGTTTTATTATGTGTGTTAATATATAATGTGTGGACTAGCCTAGCGGTCTTATTAAGTGGCAGCTAGGTGAGGGGTACCGGGTTCGATTCCCGGTTCGAGGGCAAGGTTTAATTTAATTTAAATTTGTTCTCGGCCTTTGGGAGGGTTGTGCGGTACCGGGCGAGTGCTTAAACCGTACATGGAGGACACGGTCGAATTTCTAAGACAAAAACACGAATTATAAAAAATCCTATACTTGACGCTGGCACAAATCGTGCCAGAGCCATAAAAAAAATTTAAAAAATGTGTGGACATATAAAACCTCAATTGTAAGGTGAAATCATTTATATCGACTTATGGATTACAAGGTAGATTTATGGAACATATTTATAACAATTTTTTAGCTGTTTGTGGCCGATACAGCTACAATTTTGAAGTATATCTTTGGTCAGATTTTATTTATACTTATCTATAGTGTTTTTTTAGTTTCGTTCCGACTACAGCAATTGTTACTAAATTGTTACTGATAATATCAGTAACAATTTAGTATTGCAAGCTGTAATACGTCCGAACCATTGGGATCCGTGGTAGGTAGTTTTGTACACATAGTTTAAAGTTACTTTTAAAAACTATGTGTTCTTTTTTGATACATTACTTTATTTCATATATTGGGGGTTGGTTGGAGCCGCTTAATGTGTAAAATAATTTCTGTAGAGTCTGTTTTATATCAAACAATTAAACCACATCCAATATATGTGTATGTTTTTGTATGGAATCTCACTGTTGGCATTTAGTCGGCTTTACAGCTCAGCTCGGTCTGTTTTGGCGAGCGGAATGGAAGCCCTCATAACCAAAACGCAGCTGACCCGCACATACCTCCGCGCATGCTCTAAAGTGGGCCTACCCTACCCGCAGATAAGAAAATTCATATGCTGTAGCAATAGACTGACATGGATGTGTATTTAACATTTTAATATTGACTTAACCTATTTCTTACTTCGACTTAAAAATATGTATGTTTCTGTGCACGAATAAGGATTTCTAAAATATAAATAGGTACAGGGAAGAAATACAATTTTTAGCTTCTTAAATAAAAGTACGCAACTATCAAGACAACTTGCTCCACAAATTGCTCTAATACATTTCTTTTGAGCATTAAATACCCTATTTACTTCGACTGCATTTCCCCAAACTATAATTCCATATCTAAAAACATATGCATGATAAGCAGCTAATACCGTATCATGGTAAACAGTTTCCCTTAGTCGTTTTAACACAAAAACGAAGCTATTTATATTTATACAGGTTTTATAGCTGTATATTATTTAACTTTAAGAGACCAATCTCTCAAAATTTCAGCCAATCAATTGAAAATTCATTCTTATTAGCTATAAGGTTAAAGAATATTGATTAGTGAAACCGATGCAGTCGAATAACTGGTATTCATTAGATTACCATTCAGATTAAATCACAAGGAAAGAAATATAATATGTCACAGTAAGCATAGAGTTTCTATTTGTATCGTTCATAGAGATATAATATATACTAGTATCGTTACAAAGTAATGCTGCTTTGATTGATAACTTTTAAAGAAAGAGATTTCTTATGGTTTCACGAACCAAGTTCTTGAGCTATATTTTGCCCGCAGTTTATTTTAATAAATTATTAGGCTGAAGGTTTCGAAAATAAACAACCAGTTAAGTATCCAAAAATTTAATTTGAAATAAAACAAGCATTTAAAATTGACAATTCAACTCTTGAAAAGTAAGTCATGAGCACGTTTTAGGAAGAATTTATTAACATTTAATCTAATAGCAGTCACGAATACATTCTCACAGTCGAAAATAACTTACAACTGAAACTATGTTATTTCAATGTAAAATAGTGTATTAAAACAGCACCGGACAACCTTTGAAACACTGTAGAGGAGGTATCGTTACAAAAATACGAAAGTCATATAAAAATATTATAAAAAATAAAATATAAATAATTTTAAAAAATTTATTGGAATTCGATAAAACATGCAAAATCATTCAATGGAATTTCTCGTATTAGGTATACTTATCAATATTTTATAAACAACGTTACGCACGTTAAAAACATAAGTGGCATTATTTTACAAATTGATTAATGATATTTAAGTTTCGTTGTCATCTCGTCCTTTGGCTTACGATCTCTAAGTCTGTTAAATTGTTAACAAGAAGCGTAATTTTTCTTTGGAACAGAAGTGTTTCTGACATTCTGTCGGGTTAGAGACAGATCGGTAAAAAAGGCCCATCAACTGTACGAAATCTTTGAAAAAATACTCACGTTGGTAAAGAACATTGTTTTATGTTTATTGTCACTTATGTTATTAAACTGCAATTTTAACCTATTTAGTTTGTTTTACAATTTAAGAGATATTTTTACAACCCTGTATCCTCTATACATAATGAATGATGTTTTAAGATTGTAAGTCGAGACATTCACAATTGGGCATTGTCATGCATAGAATCTCAAATAATAACTTTGTTTCGTCATACATATAATGGAATTAACAGAAATGCTAAATTTGTGCTTAGACATGGCCGGCCCGAGTTTTTTAATTTATAACAAAAATTGCCATTAATATTGCACCATACAAATATTGTGGAGTTACTAGGGCCAGCTTGGAAATACAACCAATTTAGCGACGTGAGCAAGTATATAATTTAAAATATTTAACATTAATAAAATATAGTATAAAACAAATTTGTCATAAATAAGGTGCTCACATCGATTTTAAGTGATGTTTACTTCTTGACGGCAATTGGACGTTGCCGTAATGTCTTGTTGGTGTTTTGATCAACTTCGGGAAGATCAGATTCTTCATTTTGGACTTTCTTTACTGTAATTAACAAACAACATTATTATATCTAATAAGACTATTAGAGTTTTTTTATATGTATGTAGCTTTTAACATATAACATAAAGAAATACTACAAATTGTTTACCTATATCAACTTTTGAGAGTTGATGTTTAACGGGTTAACTAAATCGACTTTTATTTATACCTTTTTCCTTTTTGGGCTTCTCTTTCCTCTCCTTCTTGGGTTTGCTCTGAGCCAATTGGCGCGCTTCTTGGCGTTGCTTCATAGTTTCAGAGATGAAGTTGAACATCAGGTATACCTATTCAACAGGATTCGTTAGTAGTAATAAGTACAATATGATTGTTGATAACCAAATATTTCTGTTTTTTTATAATAAGAATCAATCTATAGTCATAGAGGACAAATGGAGATTTTTAAATGTCATGTCCCTTGGCAAAAACGGATATCGCACCCGCACTTATCAGCGAGCTACGGTCTACGTGTATTTTAGTTTAATACCATGAAATACAAAAAGATCGTAAAACAGGCTTTTATAATTGAACTACTTACAAATCAGATTTATCAACGACTTTAATTAAAGTGAAACTTACCTGGAAAGAGACAAGAATGGAAAGTGCTGCCACACGTACGAGAAGCGGCGCTGCTCCAGCTAGTCCAAAGTAAAAAGTAAGCACGCCAAGTACCAGCGAGCACAGTCTTACTGATACGAACACTGCGCCGTTGACTACTCCCAAAACTAAATAGAATTTACAAAAACTATATATAACATGAGCATATTTTTTACACTACAGTTAATTATTTTACTATTTGTTACGTTCACAGAACAGGTTCTCTCTGTTTTTTGATTAATTTAAAGATTTCTTGGGTAACGTTAGTTACAGATAAAAAACTCGGCCCTATGTACATACCATATATAATATACCACCATGGTTTATTGGATATCACGACATTATAAGAGAATTGTTAACAATGAACAACACAAATTGTTTTCAGATTGACAAGAGGCCAATCACCTATTTCCCTATAAAACATTAACAATAAAACAGAAATGTGTTTGGGACACTACAGAGGTCAATTTAACCATTGTTCTCAAAACATGCAATGTTTGGTTCTTATACTTACACTTGTCTAAATAGTCCTCTCGTTCACCCCTGAGAATGGTATTGAGGCGGTAGGAGTGAGCAATAAACTCAGCAAGCGAATGAAGAACTATCAGGGCAACTCCAACACGTTGGAACCTGAAAGGCAATTATTTTAACTTTTTTTATTAAATTTAGGCGGGAGCGTAGCGGCCTACTCACATCCCACATGATTGAAAGTGTGAATGCACACTGGAGTAGTAAATCACACCTGGCTAGTGAAACAAACAATGGAATAGTATGACCCATTTAGTTTAAGTTAGCTCCGGAGCATAGATTAACTAAGGGTGAATATTAAGATTAACTAAATCACACCATGTGTTAATTTGAATAACAAATATATTCATATTAAGTCCTTACATATGAAATTAGCGTTTTGTCGTACTGGCCACTTTGACCTCAAATATCTCCTCTTTGGTTAGGAATTCCAAATTCAAAATTTTACAGCATTCGTTCATGCTTTTCAAGTGCATGGAAAACATGAAGTATCGCGATATTTACGAGTACGAGTTCCACCGTGGCACCAGTGCTGCAGAAAAACGCGCGTCGACTGCTGCGTTACATTACTCAACCGGCACAAAAATGAAGGGATTTTAAATCGAATGATAAAAAGTGATAAAATGTGGATCCTGTACGATAATCGGAAGCGCTCACCGCAATGGCTGGACCCAGCCGAACCAGCCAAATCGTGCCCCAAGCGTAAATTGACTCAGAAAAAGTTATTTGTGAGCGTTTGGTGGACTAGTGCCGGGGTAGTTCACTATAACTTTCTTAAATCTAGCCAGACGATTACGGCAGATTTCTAACGTTAGCAGCTGAAACCATGATGGAAAAGCTAGCTGCAAAACAATCAAGGCTGGTCAATCGCTCTACGCCACTGGTGCTTCATGACAACGCTAGACCACACACTGCACAACAGACTGCTACCAAATTATAGGAGCTTCAATTGGAATGTCTAAAGACATCCACCATATTCCCCAGACCAAGCGATTACCATATTTTTCAAAATTTGTATAACTTCTTGCAAGGTAAAAAATTCAACTCTGATGGGCCAGTCGAAACCGCCTTCAAAGATTTTATTCATTCCCGTCTGAATTTTTTTTTGAAGGGATTAATGAACTACCTATAAGATGGCAAAAGAGCATAGATAGCAATGGTACAGACTTTGATGAATTAAATATAATAAAAAAATCTACTTTTTGTTTCTCCCATACAAAACGTCAATTTTATAATATGTAAGGACCTAAAATATTAATATTTATCTTAAATTTTCTTTAACACAACATCTGGTGCAGCCATCAATTGTTTTAAATTGCCTAATGTCTGTATTCATATTGCAGTTAACAAAGTTAACCTAGGTAAAGATCAAAACAATTGTCTTATTGAAAGTGTCAACTATAAAGCTTCCTCATTAAGTAAAAAACTTTTTCATTGTGATTAGACAATAACAGTACAAATTGCACTCACTTGAAAGAGTAAGCCAATGCAACAAATGTAAAGGCAACAATTGCTTGTCTGATGCGACCTGCCCACTCATCTTTTTTCACTCTCTGGAAGTACAATTCAGGAATGGTGTGGATCCAGTATGCAGCTTGGACAACCCACCACAGCTTCAGCAAAAATGTCATTGGGTGATTAGGATATCCTAAAAAATAATTGATATTTTAAATACATCTACACTTCTAGAATGTACAGAAGAAACATGCCTAGTTCATCATAAATGGACTTGTCATTTACTTGAAAACCAAAACAATTAAGAAAAAAAATTATAGATGTTGTTGAAAAGTTACAAACCACGTAAGAAATAGACAGCAAAATTTTTGTGTATACATATACATTTATTTATGTGTTATACTTCTGTCCTTATGTTTTATACTTAAGACGAAACTGCCATATGGTAATAATATGTACATAAATAATAATACTCACCATCCCATAACTGAGGGATGTTAAAGAGGAATCCTTCTCTTAAGATAGCATCACCACCCCATACTAGAGTCATCAATTGGAATACAACCAACTGTCCAGATTCATTTAGTGCACTCAGCCTAGATTTTGACAAATGAAATTTTTTTGATATTTTCTAAAAAAAAAACAATTTATATTTCAATTATACAAAAGTGAAATAAAAATGTATCTAATTAAGCTAATCAAGGCCATGTTAGTCACATGTTTCATAATGTAAGAATTAAATTACTTACATCCAAAAAGTATTCTTGTATTATTGCATGCATTACAATGCAAACAAGTGAATAAAAGAAAACTGCACATCCATCTTTCCATCCCGATTCATATAAAAATGGTTCTCCTTTGGGAGCTTCTCTGGTTGGTTCAACTCCACTGACATTATGGTGTAAACTAATGAAGAGACTTGCTATTGGGCTTGTAGACTGAAACAAAGAGTCAGAAAAAGTGAAAGTGGTGAAATTACCTTCTTAACTACCACTGTTACTCTGTATACACAGAGCAGACACAAATACAAATAGAATGAATAAAAAGGATGGCCTAAAAATTCAAAACAACAACCAGCGAAAGTACCGTAAAGCTTACGTGGCAAACTTTTTATCACGTACCTGTACCATAAGCCCGACCAGGAATACCATAACAACACATGATACTATATCAGCATGGTTCTGTATAACAAATTCATGGCTTAAAATTGGTGGGTTTTTGTTAGTTTTTCTCCCAATTACGGGTTTAACCATTTTTCCGGTGATAACCTAATTCTGAAAAATAATGTATGTATTTAATATTAGTTATGTATATTTAACCATTTAGATGCATATGTTTAAGCTTTACTAAATATTAGAATGAAAATTTATACCGTAAAACACTAAATACACGACACCAAAAACTGTTTCCCAATCCTGTTTCTGACAGATTTAGACCGATCGGCGATCACTGACGTTTGACGAGTGACGTGACTGTAGACGTAACACTTTCACTTGGCTACGCAGCAGATTCAAACTATAGACTAGCAATAAATTTAAGATTATGTGGACATAGATGAAGAATGTAGATAGAAGTATTTTTATATCTATTCTCTATATACGTCGTGCGTTTTCCAATTACAGCACTAGAGCGCATTATGCGGCATAATGCTCAACGTTGAGTGTTCCAACTACAGCAACGCTTCGCACAATTGAGCACTCTCAAAACGAATGCTCTCTCGTGCTTCTCGCAAACAATACCAACACAGTGACAGAAAATTGACCAGTATTTTTCTTTAAGTTGGCATTTATCGAAATTTTCGTTAGTAAATATTATTAATTGTTGAAAAATTTGTAAGGCTTTCGTTTCGTCGTAGATTTTGAAAATAATTAAAGTTATTTCAAACTGCTAAAAAAAAAAATATTAGTATGGATGAAGGTATAAATAGTTACTTTTTTTATATTCCACATTTAAAATATGAATACAATTTTATTTTAACATTCGGATCTGTAAACAAATTTATTTTACAGGATTATACTTTAGAAAAAATTGCAATGGTTTTGAAAAAGTATATAATTTTTTTAGAAATCATTAAAAAATATTACTCAAAACGTAAATGATGTAAACTTCTTACATGAAACTAAATATTTTACTGTTTTTTTTTTTTTTTTTTTACTTGGGGAAATGCATTGCGCATACCCTACCGCGGTGCGACTGCTTAGTGCGGGAGGGTTATGTGGGACTCGCGAATGTGCATACCCACTAAAACCCCAAGGCGCCACCAACAATCGCCTTAGGCGGGATGCGGTAACAGCAGAGCCTTATCCGCTTCCCGACATGCGATGCGGGAAGCGGATAAGGCTCCAGTTGTGTCCGCCTCTCCCCGCCCATTGTTGATTTGTAAAGATACTTGACACAGCAAGTATCCTTCACAGATCGGGCCATACGCTTTTAGGAATAGCTAGGGGAGATCGGGTCCAGTGCTTGCAGGGATGGATCACGATCCCTTCTTTTGAACGCATGGACCCCTGCTTCCCCGCTTGGGCACTCTTTAGGTGGCGAGGATTTGACGGGCCTGCGGTTTCTTTCGCCGCCGCGGACGGGTTCCGGGACAAAGCTCCCTGGTTCTTCCCGCTTCTTCTTTGACTTTCATGACCGACTCGCAGAAATTATAGAAGATTTTCCACGAGCCGTCATTTCCTGCGCTCAATAGGGCTTTCACTACGTTTGGCAGTATTGCGTCCTCGCCCTGGAGAGCATCTAACAAAGGTCTCCTTTCCGCTTCCCATGCTGGGCAGTCCCTCAGTGTATGTTCGGGCTGCTGCCAAAACACTTTAATGATATTTAAATAAAAGATTGCTTTGCTCTTAAAAACTAATTTAATGAGTGATCGCGGAGATGGTTGATGACACACTGATGTACCTATATAGAAAAGCGTCGCGCGCAGGCGGCGATCTAACTATACGTACTTACTACTTATGCTATTTTACAAGGTGTTCGGTTACTTTCCGAACATGCTCCCGGGCGGGAGAAAAAAAAACAAAATGCTTAAAATTATACACAATAATGAGAGAAAAAAAATTTACTGATAAAAAATAAAATAAAAAAATGAGTGATTATATGCTACATGACACTATCTTCGACTATCGAGAATGCCTTTCGCGCACTAACACTTTCACTTTCATTGTGAACTACTGATTTTTTTTCACTATTATCACTGCGTTGCGCGCCCGGTGAGAGCACCAGACGCCGCCGACGCCGACATGCTCTGTATTTGTTTATTAAAATCGTGTGTTGCCTTATCGAGAGAGTTTAACCGACTACTTATAATGTTATACTGCCTTTCCATCGATGCTTCTGTTCTTTTTAACAAGTTAAATTCAGACTCTACTATAGTAGTTTGGTTACGCCATAGATTTATCAAGTGTTGTTGATTATTTCTAATCAGTTCAATGTCCTCAGAGTATTTATCTGCAAAATGCTGATCTAGCACACCAAACAATGTGTTCGCTAGGTAGCCTACGCCGTTGATAAGACCGCGACGCTGTCTGGAGTGCTCGGTAAAATGCTGTGTCAGTAAAAGTTGATTGTTGTATTGTAATTCTGAGTAGTCGTGATTCATTTGTAGTAAAATCATATGGCATTGTTGATTATTCTCGATGTTAGTACATAGTTTGTCTAAGTGATTTGATAATTTTTTGTATGCTAGTTCACCTTGCCAGTACGGGGCCATATCGTGGTACACAACTAAGGTCCATTTGTCTCTGATAAGTTGCATCTTTGTTATAGGGTCGAAATACAACGATTGGCTGGCGCTCATCTCAGTAATATTATACTCCGATCTAGTAGTAGGCATAATGCTTATGAATGAAAGAAGCCCTATCGCCATTGATATAAAGTCGAATTTCTTTTTAACTTGTCTGCATGGTCGTGTCTTCTTTCCGGCCGATGATTGACCTTTACATGATTCATTCGTTTGCTTGCTTGATGCTTTATTCCTGTTTTGTTCTTGCTCATTTTCAGATGCCATGTCGGTGAGAGGTAATGCTGACAATTTGATGATCGGTCTCCTTAATAAACCATTTTTTGTCTTTAGGGTAACAACTCTTTTTAGGTGATGTTTGAGGCTACGAACTGCTCTTTCCCACAGTCCTCCGGCACTGGCCCAGGTGGCGGCGTTAAAGTGCCAGTCGATTTTCATTTCAGATACCTCGGAGAAAAAACTATCGTTGAACATGCTTTGAAATTCTTCTATTTCCTCCTGTAATATTCTGTTTGCTTTAATAAAGTTAGTTCCTTGATCGGAATAGATATGCCGGGGCGCGTTTCTCCTTGAAGCCATTCTCCTAAGAGCCGCCAAAAATGCCTCACTGCTTAGGTCAGACACCAACTCTAGGTGTACTGCTTTAGTGACCATACAAACGAACACTGCTATGTATGCTTTAGTAGTTCGAATGCTTCTACCTCTACTTGCTTTTGCTTCTACGAACCCCGTGTAGTCCACTCCTGTGTGATAGAACGGGGGTGCCTCGTTGACCCTTGCTTCGGGGAGGTCAGCCATCAGTTGTTGGCCCAACACAGGATCGTGTCGTTTGCAGGTTACGCATGATCTCAAATATTTTTTGGTGGCACTGTACCCTCTTATGATCCAGTACTTCTTTCTTAAACATGTCACAGTAAGTCTTGGCCCACCATGATAAGTTAGTTCATGTGCTTCTGCTATCAGTAAGGTCGTGAGACGCCCTTCGTGGGGTATGATTGCTGGATGCTTCATCTCAGGATCTATGTTTGCCTTTGATAATCTTCCGCCAACTCTAAGGATTCCCGACTTGTCCAGGTGCGGTGTCAAAGGTAATTTGCTTTTACTTTGCACACGTTTATGTTCGCGATAATGCTCTATATCGCTTGCGAATGCGGATCTTTGCTCATTGATAATGATCAACCGACTTGCATTTTGTAGCTCGTGCGGCGTTAAATAGCTTGGTAGTTTCTTTGCTTTTGAAGACAAGAGAATTTTAGATGCCCGTAATACCCAAGCCAACACCCGTCTGGCCTTTCTTATAGAGCTGTGTTTTGCTAGTCTTTTTGTAAATTCGGACCTTTGTACATTAAATCATTAAGACTGAACCCAGACGACGTCTTTGCTGACCCACTGTATACAACGCGTAGGAATTTGCTCGCGTCGGCACGCTGCACGCCGTGGTGCGGGAGATAACATTCCGGGGAAGCCCTTTCGTTATACATGTATATACAAGGTGTCATATGACCTAAGTCTAGATATTCCTGCATAAATTGTTTGTAACTTGTTGCCAAATTAGGATCCTTTGCTAGTTTCTTTTCGATGTTTCGATATTGTGCTATCGCTATGTGTTTAGACTCTCCTAGTTTCTCTTCAAAATTTTCTGTCATTGGTAACCTGACCTGGTACCGTCCGTCTTCGAGTCTTTTTGTTGTTTGCTTGTAAAAGTCAATACAATGTTGATCATCTGTGGACATTGAATACTCCTCCGTTATACCCTCGATCTCCCAAAATTGTTTCAGGTCTTCGAAGTTGCTGAGTACAACGTTGCAGTGAAATGATTGGGGCATGTTTCCGCAGAGAATCCAGCCAAGGCGCGTTTGTTGTGCTATTGGTTGTGATTGATGTTCGCCCTTGACTATCCCGCTTAAGATTATAGATGCGTAGACATCCGCACCGAAAAGTAGATCGATTGGTCTACTCATATTATAATTAGGGTCCGCTAATTTTATGTTATCTAAATACGGTAGAAACGGTCTATCGAAGCTGTGATTCGGCAAGCTTTTGATTAAGTTGTTTATAATTAAAACTTCAGTTTCGAATGAGTAATCATCGTTGACAGACGCGCACTTGATAGTGAGCATGCCTTTGCAATTATTTTGCTTATGACCGACTCCAAAGATAGAGCCGTTGCATTTTTGCCGTTGTAAACCTAATGATTGAGCAGCCTTTTCCGAAATTAATGATATCTGGGATCCTTGGTCAATCAGGACCCTCATTATTTGCTGTGAACCATCTATGGCCGTGATTTTGACTTCTGCGGTTGCTAAGAGAACTTCGCTTGCCTTTCCCACGGCTGCATGGGGCGAAGTTGCTGCGTTGCTATTTTTTTTTTTTTTTTTTTTATAGAACGGGGGGCAAACGGGCAGGAGGCTCACCTGATGTTAAGTGATACCGCCGCCCATGGACACTCTCAATGCCAGAGGGCTCGCGAGTGCGTTGCCGGCCTTTTAAAAATTGGTACGCTCTTTTCTT